AAAATCTCTGGAAACTGTTATCAGTGGAGAAGACATGGGCTTGAACAACAACCTCACCCTTCTTTACTGTGCTTTCCTGAAAACCTCCCATACCTGGCTCTCCCCCACCACCCAACATCTTTTGTTTTTAGCTGGAAATGGCAGTTAGGGTGATGGTTGGGCCATAGCGGGGAGTTTCTCTGTTTTCCTGGGTATCTCTCTCTCTCTCTCTCTCTCTCTCTTTTTTAAATCCACCACTGCACTAAAATAAAATTCAAGCTCCCTGTTCAGCTTATGAATCCTCATATGATGTGGCCTCTGCCCACCACTCTGAGACTCCAGCAACATGGAATCTTTCTGTTCCTTAAACACATCAAGACTGTGAGGGGGTTCGGGACAGGCCCACTCCCTCCCCCGAATGGGCCACTTTGGCATGTAGATTATTTTGAGCTGAAGACACTTGAAACCCTGTGGGCACAAGAGAAACTTTTGTCTTTCCTTAACTACACAGAAGAATCTAAATTGGCAGTGGTGGGGAGGAGTCTTTGCCAGAATAAGGGTTATTAACAGAAGTAAGTTTTATCTGAGTGACCCATCTGCATGGTGGGGCAAACATTTAATTGCCAGACATCTGCTCTTCTTGCCGCCCTGTGAAGTGCATTCTTGTCCTCTGAAATCCCAGATCTGTTCCCCCTTTTCCTTCGTTCAGAATGACATATAGACCTCATTTTGCCTGCCTTTGGAGTTTCCATGTCTATGTGGATTGCCATATGTACACCTATGAAATCTGATTTTCTCCTATTACTCTGTCTTATGTCAATTTGATTCTTAGTCCAGCTAGAAGGATCTTTGAAGGGACGGGAACTCTTGCTCCCCAACAATTGTTCCTACCTCAGGACCTTTGCAACTACTTTTCCCTCTGCCAAAACTTCCTTCCCTCAGACATTCATACGCTTGGCTCCTGATTGTCCTTCAGGCCTCAGCTTAAATGCCTCCTCTTCTAAAATATCACCCTAACCACCCAATCTGAAGTAGCTCCCAGTCACTCTCACTCACTGTTTGCCCTGCTTTATTGGAGAGTTTCATTGCATTTGATAAATTAGACTCCAACACCTATTCCATCCTCCTTCTGGGGCACTTTCCAGTATTGTAGAGGCTGGAAACTTCTCCTGTCCTTCATTTCACGGCCACCCCAACCAGTCCAGGGAATCAGATTTCGACTCACCAGGATAATAAGAATTCTTGTCATTTTTTATGGTCTGTCCTCATGAGTGCTCTCACTGGTGGCAGCCGAGCCACTTTGGCCTGTCTAGAATCTGGGTACAGGCTACCTCTCAATCCCCAAAGTGAGACTTAGATCACTCAGGCTTCCAGGGGTTAAGACCTCAACTCGGGGCGCCCGGGTGGCTCAGTTGGTTGAGCGACTGCCTTCGGCTCGGGTCATGATCCCGGAGTCCCGGGATCGAGTCCCGCATCGGGCTCCCTGCTCAGCGGGGAGTCTGCTTCTCCCTCTGACCCTCCCCCCTCTCATGCTCTCTCTCTCATTCTCTCTCTCAAATAAATAAATAAATAAAATCTTAAAAAAAAAAAAAAAAGACCTCAACTCTAGAATCTCTACTTAATTTAGATGTGGTGTATTTTTTTTCTTGGACATCAAGAGCAGGAAAAAGACACAAGTTTCAAATCAACAGAAGAACATAAGGACGTTTTGGAATTTATAAAAAGAATATTAAGCCTCCTTCCTTCAAAATGTTGTATTTCCTCTGTGTGACATTGTTGGTCCCACTTTAGTTAGCCCTTCAATTCTTGCACATCTGTGCATGTTCTTCTTGGATGAAGTAGATACAGGATTCTCCTGAGACACTTGGTTCCCACCACCTTAAAGTCATTGCATATTTTTCCTGATGCCTTTAGCATTTGTTACTCAACATAATGTATTACTTGTACTCTCTGGGATCTTGGAAAACTGCTTTTTGTTTTTTAATTGTGGGAAAATCTCTCCCCCACAGTTTCACTTCAGCATTTTAGGAAAGGCTCCGAAAGTGGCATCAATCTGGTTAGAAGGAGGGGAAACCAACAAGTGAGCTGGAAAGGAATCAGGCATGGAGATCGGAATAAGATGGAGTTGGGGACAGCGGGACACAAGCCATTTCTCCTTGACGTCCTACATCTGGTTGAAGACTGAAGATATTGGTCCATTAGCTGGGGTATTTTTCTACCAAACCAATCAATTTACTTTAATTGAATGTTTCCCTTGAACACTATTTTGTTGGATCTTTACACAACCAAAGGAAAGGCAAAACAAACAAACAAAAAACCAAAGGAAGTTAGAAGAATATTATAGGCTACAAGCAAGATGAAGAGGAAAACAATGGCTAGAGTAAGATTGACCACAAGGAGCAAGGAGTGATTTTTAGCACAGCAATGTTCCCTGTCTTCTGTGGCCTGCAGATATAATGGGCTGCTCCAGGTTGGGGGTAAGACCTGCAGAGCTAGTCTGTGCTTTTAGTTTCTGGTTTCCCCACTGGCCTCAGAAATGTCAACATCTGCCATGGGGTCACCAAGCATTTCATAGTTCACCATGCTCTGTGTGGCACCGAGTCTGTGATACAGCAGATGTCCTCTGCAGGTGTGTCGGATGAAGCCAACCCCAGACGCTGGTCCCACATGAAGCCATGTGAAGAGCTGGCAGGCTTTTCCTTGCAAAAGAGAAAGTACAAAACTTAAGCTCAGGTTGACACAAGTGTCACTTTCATTTGTCCACAGACATGGTTGTCTGTAATGTTAAGGCTGGTTCGATCCACAGGCCGAGTAAAAAGCCGATTAGTGCTGAAATTCTGCTCCCATCAGGATGTCTCTCCCACTGCCCTCCCAGATAACTTCAAAGAAGAAAATAGAGCTAGTTTGTATTATTTCTTTGGGTTGTGATGTGAAGTCTTCTATGACTTTGTTTACTTGTGTGTTTGGTCTTTCCTTTGGTTGTGTAGAGAGATCCAACAAAATAGAATTCAAGGGAAACATTCAATTAAAGTAAATTGATTGGCTTGGTAGAAACAATACCTCTGCTAATGGACCAATATCTTTATTTTTCAACCAGGTGTAGGACGTCAAGGAGACATGGCTTGTGTCTGAAAATAAGTCTGTTTGGTGTTGTTATTTACAGATGCCTTGGCTGGCCCTTAGGAAATGCGGTGAAACAGGTCCATGGCGATGCATCCTTGAGAACTGAGGGCCTATGGGAGAGAGAGGGAGCCGTCCGGGGTAGGGGAGAGCTTCTTGGAGTCACTGGATGCTGGTTAACAGTGTAACAGCAGCTGACGCTGTTACCGCACTTGTCGCTTTGGGTGGTCACGGTAACCCTCCGAGGTGGGTACTAGTAGCTCCATGCTGAAGACAGTAGACTAGGTGTGCACAAGTAGTAAATGGTAGACCCCAGACTGGATTTAGGTCAACCTCTAAACCACTGTATCAGTCGTTGAAGGCAGGAAATGAGTTTTGCTCATGTTTTTGTCCTTAGCTGTGTCCCCCAACCACGCAGACTCTAAGCCGAGGGTGGGTGATGGCCCAGAAAGACTGAAGAGATAACCCAAGATGGCGATGGAGATGTAGGTTTATTGGGGGGACCTTATGCACTGGGTGTCCAGGAGTGGCGACTGGGACAAAGCATCCGCTGCGGGGACCCATCTGCAGTGAGGTTGTATAGCATAGTAACTAGCTTCGCAACTACTCACTTGTAGCTTCTCCCCTTCTTGCATGAGCAGAGTTCCCAGGAGAGCAAAGCCTGCCATCTGGATAGTCTTCGTTACAAAGGAGCCCCTCCAGGTTGGCCACCCCTAGAGCCCTGACCTTGAACACTGAACAGCATGTTCTTTGGCATATTCTGCTTGATAGGAATACAGAGGGAGGACAGGATCCCTACCTTCTCAAGATAGTGATTAAAGGGGCGATCAGGGTGCGCTTGCACAAACCAGCCTGCCAGCACATACCACACACCAGCACAAGATGAGCAAATGGACCTTGGGAAGAGAGCGTGGGAGGTGTGCTCTCCAGAACAGAATTTTCTGAGCTGTTCAAAATTATCTGAGTCTGAGAGGATCAGGGATTCCAAAGGGAAGAAAAGACATGCAAAGTCAGAACTGGAGGGGAAATCTGCTCAGAGAATCATCTTCATAACTCAGAAAATCTTGTTTAACTACATTTTATGCAAGGTAATCACAGCCGGTATTTAAAAAACAAAAACAAAAACCCAACACTGTTCTAGGAAATGTCTCTGTTTGCCACCACCTTTAACTTCCTTAATCATGGTGTGGTGTTTTTTCTTTCTTTACAATTTGGTAACATGTTGATGGAAGCAGTAAACTAGCTCTTATATCAGAACTTTTTTCAATTTGATTTCAACGAATTTGTAAATAGGGAGGCCACTTAGTCGGGAAAAAGACGCATGAAAATACTTGAAATAGAAAATGTATTTCAAAACTGCACATGTAAGATTTTTATTTCCCATCAACTTGGTCATTTGACTTCTTACTACATGGATCAATATTCTTAGACCAAGTGGCAAATATCCACAAAAGGTCAGTTACAAAAACAGGCAACTCTAAAGCCTCGATTTTAAAATACAATGAAAGTGGGACTTCACTGATTCACAGAAATTCAAAAATTCCTAATAGCAAGTATCAGACTATATCTATAATATTGATAAGTGTTACCAGCAGATACGTTTTCAAATATATTGATATCAGATACTATGGCCAATGATGGTTTAATATTTTTAAGCCATAAGAATATACATGAAAATCTATTTTAAAAAGTATGATGCTTTTGACATGATCACTTAAAGTTCTTATTAAAATACCAGCTTCACAAAGTATCAAACTTGCAGAAGAATAAATGTACAGACTTCCCAGCCCAGGTTAGAAAAAAGTATTTTTTAAGGTTTTGATAAAAAATTAAACAAAATGTGCTTACGGTACTCAAAAAAAAAATGAAACGACCTCATAAAAGTAAATTTATTTATTCAGTATTGTACAGAAAAGTGGAATCAGGGTGACCTGCGGAGACACAGAGGCAGTGACTGGGAGGCGGGCTCAGCCACAGGCCTCTGTCCATGTGGTAGCCGGGACTGCCCAGGCATTGCTCCCTCTTCCTCTCCACCACAGGAAGAACCATGTCAGTGTTTATAATACAGTTTCTAAAAATATGACATTGATGCTATAAAAAAAAAATGTCTTAAAAAACAACCACATGCTTGAACAGAAACATAGGGTATTTGGGGCTTTAAGGGTCTTCCTGTGGGAGGAGTTTCCTCTTCACTGAAGGGTCAAGTTCTTCATCAAAGTCATCCAGCTCCTGTTCCTTGGAGAGCTCCAGGAAAACCTGAGACGGACAAGAAATAAAGAGGGAGAGATGTCACGCTGCCTCCGTAGCTCCAAGTGAGTGCAAAGCGTCTGCTCACACTGTACATTTATAGTGCATGGATGAACCGAGTCACGCACGCTGACCCACCTGCTCCAGGGTGGACTGGGAGAGGCTGTACTCCTCCAGGTGGAAGCTCTGTTTAACTGCAGAGGGACGGACGTACGTTAGGAGTTCATCTATTTTTATACCCAGATGGTCTCAGAAGTCAGCATACCATACAAATAACAATTTTAAAAAAATCTTAAATAAAAAAGTTCAGATAAAAATGTTCCTGATTTAAGTATGGCATGCAGTTAAAAATACACCCATGCATTCACTTGGGTTTGGGGAGAAAAGTATGCATGCTATGTTCATTTAGCTCAGTGTTGGAGATTTCTATTTAAGCAGGAAACAGTGCTGCAAAGGTTTCCTTCCCGGTACGTGTGAGCTAGTGCTTTTGCACATTCAGCATAGGAAGAGGTGGAAGGAAGACATGTTTTGCAAAGGGAAGCCTCAGAAGATTATGGAGAAAGATGTCTGCGGTTTCCTGGGAGCAGGTATCCTTTGTGACCCTCTTTCTACCATGACCGCTTGCTCCTAAGTGAGTTGAAAACCTTTCTCCTTGACCAGAATAGATGGGAAGGGTAGTCAGAGCTCTGATAGGAGGCAGCAGCCTGGAAATGTCACCAACAGTACCAGGCCAGTACTGGCCATGGTGCCAATCTGGGAGTGTTTGCATGATCACGTCGTCCAGAAAGTTGGGGTGCTCGGCGCAGAGAATGGAAAGGGGGTGTCCTTGTGGCCATGAATGCTATCAGCAGGAGTACAAAGAGTCTTCTAGAACCAGGAGACTTGAATCTCTTCCCTAGGGAAGCTGACAAGCAAGCAAAAAGATCACTGAGCCGTGACAATGAAAAAGAGCATATAGGGAGGGAGTTCTGGCTAGCACAATTCAGAGGCAGGGTTAATGAGCTCAGGTGGCAAGACAAACATGGGGTGGTGGTGACAGATGCAGTGTGGCTAGCTGTGAAGTGCAACAGACACAGGAAGATTGTTTTAATAACCAGACAGGAGGCCAGTTTCTTAATATACAGCCTAAGGCCGTAAGTAACATGCAAGTCCATATGAAATTAAACTGTAAACATGCATCATGCATCAATGTTCCCAAAGAAAGTGTCTTCCTTGAATGCATACACAACTGAATTTTGATTTAGGTTTTCCCAATATATATATATATATATATATATATATATATATATATATATAAAAACACATGGAAAAACCCCGCAAAGCAAAAGTAAAGTCACTCCCATTAACCCCCTGCCCCCCAACACCCCAACACACACAGAATGCCTCCACTTCTTTGATTTTTTTGTGCCCTAAAATTCAATTGGAGATTTTTAACTTTAAAAATTAACACCTTAGAGGCGCCTGGGTGGCACAGTCAGTTAAGTGTTTGACTCTTGATTTCGGCTCAGGTCAGGATCTCAGGGTCGTGGGATCGAGCCCCGTGTTGGGCTCCATGCTCAGCAGGGAGTCTGCTTGAGATTTTCTCTCTGACCCCCCCGCCCACTCGTGCTCTCTTTCTCTTAAAATAAATAAATAAATAAAATCTTTAAAATTAACACCTTAGCTCACATTCTGTTTTTGTCAGGCTGATGGATTAGTCTGTGATCTGGAATTACCTGCTTCCTGGGATCTCATTTCCAAGTTTATGGCTCTTACCCTTCTCTAATGTGCAGAAAGCTTGTGCTAAAGGTCGCACATTTTCCACTGGCAGTTTATACACCATCACAGAAGAGTACCTGCGGGGAGAGAGGCGGGGCTGAGGCTGATACCACCTGTGCAGGTGGAAGCTGGCTGCGACCCTGTCTCTGGTCGTTATCCTGATAAGTAAGAGTCAGTGTGGGGCAGGCGAAATGCCTAGGGTGAAGTTGTTCACAAGGAGAACCCAGTGAGGGGAGAGGCTCCGCATGGAGAGGAGCATGTGCGGGGCAGATGAAACGTGGACATTTGCCAAAGTTGCCTGCCACCTTATCTTTTCAGCTGAACACTTGCTTCTCGAGCTTCATCTTCCACCAGGGACTGATGCCACATAGTTTCTTAAAGTCACTCAACTCAGGTGGGGGTCTAGGTCTTTTCTCTAGAGAACTCTTACCTCTCCAACTTGCCCCATGCTACCCAAACTACTTTTCTTTTTTTTCCTTTCTTTTTATTATGTTATGTTAATCACCATACATTACATCATTAGTTTTTGATGTAGTGTTCCATGATTCATTGCCAAACTACTCTTCTAATTTAGGTTATCATTGAGTCTCTGATGAGGAGACTGGAAATCGCCAGGAATTCAGCACCAAATAATGTTCAGGGACAGTTTTTTTTTTTTTTAAATAATTTGTTTCCCAGATTAACGTTTGTCTTTTTATCATTTGAAAATCAGGAAGATTTAGATTTCATTTCATAAGATACTATTTCCTCTATTTATGGTGCGATCATTCTCAACCATTCTGCTCATTCCCTGTGCCTTTATGACCTATTTCTATTCAGTCGTGGGCTGCCCATTGAGATACAGCGTTTTCTTTGACATTTATACTCCAGTGTAGAAATATATTTTCCCACCGTATCATTATGACTTATTATTACTCTTTTCTGTTTTCCCCCCAACTCCTAAATCGTCTGTCTTCTGCAGTAGATTCTAGTGTTAAAAATGACTCTAAAGTTAATCTTTGATTTTTACTGTATGATTTTCCTGAGAACTGTTCCATGATCAGACTGTGTATAAAATTGGAAGTGTTAATAGATTTGAAAGAAAATAATTAGCTTTCAATTCTACCTATGCCACTCGTTAGCTCTGTCGCGTGACCTAACTTCTCAGTTTCCTATCCTTAAAGATAACAATCAATTCCATTTCTTAAGGTCCTTGTAGTGGCCAGACACTCACAATGCTTTTTTGAAATCATCTCATTTTTCACTGGAAAAACAGTGTCTACCTAGGAAAGTTTCAGTGTGGATTAAATACGACAGCACGAGACCAGAACGGTATCTTGCAGCTAGTAAGACAGCAACACATGCTACCTCCAATTTTCCATCAGCTCTACTCTTCTCTAATTTAGTTTCTGCAGTGTCCAACAGATACTTTCTTTTAGGTTTCCTTTTGGGCTAAATGTGGACTCTAATGACAACAAGTGAATGAAACCAGCAAGGAAAAGCTGACATTTGGTATCAGATCAAACTCAGCAACCAACTTTACCTTTCCTGCCGGGCAGCCTGGGGGAAAACCCTCAGAATTTCACGATGGAGGCTTTCCCTCTGCTCGGGGGTCTTCACCTTCATCTCCAGCAGATAATTCTTACCAAATTTACTCTTCAGGTGTTGGATGGAACCGATACATCTGGAGGTCAGAGGAGGTTGAGGTCGTCACAGAAAGGGGAAAGAGACTGGGCACACAATGTTTGAGACTCTTGATTTACTGCTAGGGTTGTCTCCAGGGCGTCACTGTTAGACCCAGATGCAGTAGCTAGAGCCATGCTGTGCACGGACAAACTCCTCCAGCCATGCACCTGTTGGGGGGGGCTAGTGTGGGTGGGGACGGGCACCCACCTCAGCCTTCCGGACACCATGATGGCCACGCGGTCACACACAGCCTCAGCCTCCGCCATGTAGTGGGTCGTCAGGAGGGCACCCCTCTCTGTGTCTTTGAAGGTGGCCCGGATCACCTGCCTAAATCGTCCAAAGACCATGTGCGGTGAAGAAAGACTTCGAATTAATCATAAATGGGCGGGGAAAAGAATTTTTAACTGGCATGCCTGTGAGTAATTAGCAAAAGGAGCTCAAGCAAGGGAGGACCCTCGAGAGGGCAGGTGGGAGGAGGAAGGGCGAGCCTGATGAGGGCGTGAGGCAGAGGCAAGCACTAGGAGAGGAGCTGTCTGAGAACACAGAGTTTATCCCGAGCTTGTGTTGAGAGAGAAACGCTGAGCAAGAGATTGCGCATGAAAGGGCTGTGCCAAGGAACAGAGAGACAGAATTCGACCACAGGGGGGTCACAACCTAGTAGGAGAAAATAAATGCAGAATAAATGTTCAAGATAACATCCAGAAGTGGCCTCCACCTTTACAACCTAATGGGAATCACTGTTCCCCCAGCACTGGCCACGGTCACTGTGGCCCAGGGATGCACCACCCCTACCTAAAAGATCACCGGGGCAATGGTACTACTTACAGTGAGTGTGTCTGGGTCCTGCCAATGCTTATTTTTTCTTCAATGATGAAATATAATCAGGGAGAGGGTTGGTGTTTGTTTCGGAAAATATTGGTGTTACTAATGATATTGAGAGGTGTTCTCCCTCACCCCCCCCATTAAGAAACAGTTTAAGGGACCATTTTTACACAAGTGAAACAATTCACAAATTTCCTGCAAGGCTTTGGGGCTGTCCGTGACTGGGTAGCGTCCCTCACCACATCTGCTGCTGTCCCTCGGGGTCCACCCCCGTGGACGGCTCGTCCAGAAGCACCATCGACGGGTTTCCCAGGATGCTCAGCGCGAAGCACACCTGGAACGGGAGAACAGCGTGTCTGGCACCGACGTGTGGGGTGCGCAGAGTAACACTGAGCCCCCCCCCCTTACCTTCCTCTTTATTCCCTCGGATAAGGCCTTCACGGGCAGCTTCAGCTGGTCCTGCAGCTTGAGCGCATCCACCAACCTGGAGCAAACACAATGGAGCATCACAGTAAGGAAGCTGGGAGGGGGATGGGCCACACAGCACAGGGAGGGGGAGCACAGCTCAGAAATACTGTTCAGAAAATAGATGCCAGGTGATTTTTTTTAAAGATTTTATTTATTTATTGGGGGGGGCAGAGGGAGAGGGAGAAGCTGACTGCCCGCTGAGCGGGGAGCCCAAGCTGGGGCTCGATCCCAGGACCCCAGATCATGACCTAAGCTGAAGGCAGACGCTTAACCGAATAAGCCACCCGGGGGCCCCAGGCCAGGCAATCTTAAACTGGCTGATTTGATCCCTCCAGATAGATAGTTTTCCCTTTTAAAAGAATATAAGCCCATTTCATGATTTTTAAATAGTTGGTCTATGAGAAACACTTTATACTTAAATTTTAGTATTTTTGATAACTTTCACCAATGGTTACTATTTTTATATTTACTATGAGAAGAAAATTAACACTTTGAAATCTGGGAAACCAGTTTCTAGTGGGGAATCTACCCAGTGTGATCTGGGTCAGGGTTCAGAGTCTCCCGAACTGACAGTGAGGCTCCTCACTCCCAACCGTCTACTGCCCCCACAGGTATAGAACAGGCGTGGCTCCCACCCACCTCGAGATGGTGATGGCTGCGTCCGCTTTCCTCAGTCCTTTGATGGCAGCAAACACCTCCAGGTGCTCCTTCACAGTCAGATTGGGCCACAGCACGTTCTCCTGGGGACAGTACCCCAGGAAGCCCTGGGAGCCCTCCCCGCTGCTCCCTTTTAGTAGCACCTGCAGAGAAAAGTTCACTCCCAGGGCCTGCCTTCTGGGTTTGTTTTTCCTGCATTTCTCAATGGCTTCTTCTTCTTTTTGTTTTTTTTTTTTTTTAAGATTTTATTTATTTATTTGACAGAGACACTGCGAGAGAGGGCTGTGTCACAAGCAAGGGGAGTGGGAGAGGGAGAAGCAAGCTTCTGCGGAGCAGGAAGCCCGATGTGGGGCTCAATCCCAGGACCCCGGGATCATGACCTGAGCTGAAGGCAGACGCTTAACAACTGAGCCACCCAGGCGCCCCACAATGGCCTCTTTCTCCTTATGAACCTAGAAAAACTAGAAACTCTCTAAGTCCTGATTGGGCTGAATAATTTATAATCATTCTGTGTTGGAGAGAGGTCGTCAGAAAATAAACACATGAAAACAAATGCGTGCACCCCCTAATCTAAGCTGAAAAATCAAGTATCTCGCAAATATGTCTTGCCATCATGGCCAACAGGTTATATCCATTTTTTTATCACAATCAGGAAACAAGTATATGAATTTATGAATGGAATTCCTCACTATTGAACACACTCAGTGAGCACATGTCTTTTGAGCACGTAACATATGTTGTGCTGTCTGCTTTGGATACAGTGGGGAATGGAATAGCCAGCACCTTTGTTACTTGTGTTTTCATTCTGCTGAGCAAATTGGGCAATAAACAAGTAGAAAAATGAGCGGCTGGAACACAGACAGCTCCTAAGTGGTGCTGTAACGGAAGTAGTCAGGGTGTTGGGGGCGGGGACTAACTAACATCACTAGGTAGGATGGTCAGAGAGGGTCCTGTCTGCTGAGGGGCCCCTGGGGCAGAAGAGGGACAGGGCACCTGCCATGGAAAAGCCCAGACGAAAGGAATTTGGAGCAGAGCAAAGCCCTGTGCCCTGATGAAGCTCCATCTGTTTTTAGACCCGAGGCAAAGCTGGGGGCCTGGTGCAGAGTGAGGAAGGCATGTGATAATCGGCCCCTCCAGATGAGCCAGAGGGATGCGGGGAGGGGGGTCCTCAGCCTTAGTGCAGTAAGTGGTTGTTGAAAATATTGAAGTAGGACGATGGTACTGTTTATAAAGATCACACTGGCTGATCTGATTAAAGCTAATTTCATGACACCCAAATAGTTTGCTTTGTTAACTCAGATCTTACTTACCTTTTAAATAGTTCATTATCATATATCTGTGAACAGTTACTACCTCCTTTTTTGCCCATGCTTAATGAGAAATGAAATAATGATTTAGGGTCCAGATGGTAACTCAATTGGAGCGTGGTCTCCACTAAGCTAAGGAGTCCAGTTAGGGTTGAGTGAGCCACCAACATCCCTGAGCAGCTCCATTCACCATCACGTGCTCTCATCTCAGCTTTGGAGGGATTGTGAATATTTAATTTCTCCTCTGTCTTTGGTGGCATATTTATCAATCACATTCCTGGAGGTCTTTTCCCTTCCAGGCTTGAGCACCACCCCCTCTCCCCTGGTGTGGTGCCACAGACCTCTCTCTCCCTTATATTCTGTTCTCCAAAATCCCTGGACATCCTTTCCAAAGGAGACCTTAAAGTGGTCTATTTTTGCCATAGAATTTGGGGGGAAATATGTTCTCTATACTCTATTGTGTTGTCTCCCTCTTTACTAAATCTCAGCTCTTTTTCTGGTGTCTGACCATCTTATATGGTTCAACTGCATGTAGGACTCAAGTTCACTTCATATCCCTGTTGCTCAATTTTGTTTTTTTTGTTTTTTGTTTTTTGTTTTTATTTTTTTATAATATTTTATTCTTATGTTAATCACCATACATTACATCATTAGTTTTTGATGTAGTGTTCCATGATTCATTGTTTGTCTGTTGCTCAATTTTGAATCATTCTTTGAAAACACTCCCAAGAAATAGTGTATTTCTACAAAAATATATGTCTCAGGATCCAGGCACTTTGTGAAGGACAATGAATATAATGGCTTAATAAAGGGTTTTTGTTTTCTTTTTTAAACATTTTAATTCAAGATTAAAGCATTACATACTGGGAAGACAATGCCCATTGAAAGTACAAATCCTGTATGTCAACTATACTTCCATTAAAAAAAAAGTGGGGGGAGCGCCTGGGTGGCTCAGTCAGTTAAGCATCTGCCTTCGGCTCGGGTCATGATCTCAGGATCCTGGAATCGAGCCCCATGTCAGGCTCCCTGCTCGGCGAGGAACCTGCTTCTCCTTCACCATCTGCCCCTCTCCCTGCTTGTGCTCTCTGTCTCTCTCTCTCAAATAAATAAATAAAATCTTTAAAAAAAATCAAAACCAAAAATGTAATGTGTTACACTGCACTCACCGTTAATACATGGAAGCAGATAGTTTGCCAAGAAAAAAAATGTGCAACTCCATGTGTTTTATGGTATGATAACTAAGGCCTGTATAGATTCTGATGTTGATTTCTAATCAGATACTGGACATTCCCTCTAGATGTTGTTGAAGGCATAAGTAATTATTCCCTGCCAGTGATTAATTTTTCCATGTATGAACATGTTAACTTTGTGAATATGTTAGTCTGGAACTTTAACTACTTCCGTCATCTAATGATTTAATGAGATTTGCTCTTTACAAAGCTTTCACATCTTACAAGTTTATTCTGAGCACCACGAGATAGCACATTCTCCACACAATTCACCTACCTGTCCAGCAGTTGGTTTCGTGTCTCCAGTTATCAGCTTAATGGATGTGCTTTTCCCAGCTCCATTGTGTCCTAATAATCCTAAAACCTCACCTGAAAAAAAAAATTGGTTGCACTTAATATGAATTGACTTTAATAGTAAAATTAAGAATAAAACATAGTCTAAAGTCTTGCTATGTGACAAGTGTTGTGCTCTGTGCTTTATATACGGTGTCTCATTTACTCGTCAGGCCTGAGAGGTTGTTGTCATAATCCCTGGGTACATATTTGGGGACGGCTCTCAGAGATGAGGTTAGCTGCCCACGGTCACACAGATGGGAAGGGGTAAAGCCCCTCTTGGAAGCCAGTGTGTCAGACTCTGTCTCCTGTGACCCTAAGTACTGTGGTCAGTACACAAAATGAGGTCATCTCAACGGCTGCTGGTCAAGCCTTCAGACTGCACTGGCACAACCCCAGTTCATTCTCTTGTGAAATAGAACAAACACTAGGAAATCAATCATGCTCACGAAATAGATACGTCATGGCTTCAGCAGTTTGTTTTAATAGAGTGCTTATGGTTTCTGTGTAGATGTTGATTAATTCTACTTAGAAATGGGACATGTCGAACGAAGGTACTGTCAAGGTCACCTGCTGATGGGTCTGTGTGGGAAACCACGAGGCGATGTACAGAACGATTCTCATCAAGACATAATAAAGCTCATGAGGGCCCCAGGCCACCAGGGGAAGGGCCATAGGGGTCAAACCTTTTCTAACACAGAAAGAGACATTTCTTGCAGCGATTTTCTTCTTCCTCTTGGAAAAGCAGCATTTCCTTTTCCCTGCATACTCTTTGCGCAGGCAGCTGAAGATAATGACCGGTTTCTGTAAGTAAATCACATCAGACCTTAATTCTCTCCATGAACTTTGAAGCTCTGTCCTCCCATTGGTGTGGCCCCTCACGACACAAGCCATGCCATCACAGGAGACCTTCCATGAGGGGACACTTTTCCTGGCCATTCTCCAATCCTGGTCCTCAGTCTTGGAGGGAGGAGATGGTCATTTTCCCCTCCTACCAAGGCAGTTACTCAGAAGCACATTATTCTGTGCAGAACAGGAGCAAAGAGACTTGGAGAAGTACTGAGTCCTGCTCTAAGGACAAGACAACGGGCTGCCGACCAGATTTTGCCCTGCAGTCCGTACAGTGCCATTCTCCAAGGAGCAGTGCTAATGTGTCCCTTTGTTCCCATTCTAAAATTCACAAGTTCTGGGGCACCTGGCTGGCTCAGTCAGTGAAGCCTCGTGCCTTCAGCTCAGGTCATGATCTCAGGGTCCTGGGATCGAGCCCCACCTAGGACTGCCTGCTAAGCAGAGAGTCTGCTTCTCCCCTCTCCCTCTGCCCTGCCTCCCCTCCCCCGACCTCCGCTTCCCCCACCCCTGCATGTGTGCTGTCTCAAATAAATAAATAAAATCTTTAAAAAATAAAATAAAGTTCTTCCTTGGCTTTTGCAACTTCAGTTGTACTCCACTTCTTGGTTTTTATTCCAAGAACGACAAACTGAGGTGACGTGACTTTTAATCTGTTTGTTTCAATGTAAACAAGATGATTACTTACTAAAAGGAAGTCATGATCTGTGCTTGTATGGACCAGAGGAACCCAGGATTATTTGAGGATCAGACTCGTAGACTGACTACGTTAACTGACAAACATTTGTGTTATTTGATGGAATGAGTACTTCATAGGTGTTACCTCATCAAAGTTTGTGGAATTCAAGGCATCTGCTGTTCTCATTCTTTCCAGTTGAACATCTTCATCCTCCCCTTCTGGTGCTTCCAGATTTTGATAAGCATCGTTGCTTCTTGGAGAAATTCTAGAGTCAAGAGCCATCCGTGAATCATCAATATGGGGTTTTCATCCTTGTATTAAGAATACTGCATTCTTTAAATCTTACGCTTTGAGTAGGTTGGGTAATTAATAAACTATCATAACCTCCGTTCAGTGAGGTGACTCTTCCTCCCTTCCCAACCTAGTGCTTATCAAGGGTACTGCTATATTTAGTGACCCTTGCTTCGTACATACCTTTCATCCTACTTATCTGTGGAAGATTCTTTTTCCATTATCACTGGGCAACTTAGTATCTATTATCTCACAGAAGATTTTAATAGCATAATTTAATGATGTTATCTTTCTGGAAACCTTAGCTTTTTTTTTTTAAATAATTTTTTATTGTTATGTTAATCACCATACATTACATCATTAGTTTTTGATGTAGTGTTCCATGATTCATTGTTTGTGCATAACACCCAGTGCTCCACGCAGAACGTGCCCTCTTTAATACCCATCACCAGGCTAACCCATCCCCCCACCCCCTCCCCTCTAGAACCCTCAGTTTGTTTTTCAGAGTCCATCGTCTCTCATGGTTCGTCTCCCCCTCCGACTTACTCCCCTTCATTCTTCCCCTCCTGCTACCTTCTTCTTCTTCTTCCCTTTTTTTTTTCTTAACATATATTGCATTATTTGTGGAAAACTTAGCTTTAATACCACTGCCATGATGGCATTATTACATTCCCATGGGGATAATGAGTCAGAGTATTTGAAGTCAGGATGGTCTCAGAAAATACAAGTTAGATGCTTGATCTCCTCAGAAACCTGGCCATTTCCTGGGAATGTGGGTCAGATTCACTTTCTCCTCCACTTTAAGTCTGGTCCTTCATACCCATATATAGGTCATTCTATTCTCTCTTACCTCAATCTAATCCCCCATACTGATCTTAGATTTCTTAAAGGTCATCTTTCTCCTTGCCCACTCAACTGTCTGTAAATAGTTAAAGATGAATAGATAAATAGTTAAAGGTCATCTTGTAAGTTGCCCACTCAACTGTCTGTAATAGGTAAAGATGAAACCAATGGGAGATACAGAGGGAATAAGATGCTTATGGCCGTGTCCTTGCACGGTGTAAAAAGACAGTCTCAGCTTTTAAGTCCCATTAATAACTGGACCAATCTGTGATCTACCAGTTGGTCTTCTTATTACCACAGAAAAAGAGCACAATTACTGCTGTTTTGGGCCTATTGATCATACCATCCTTCCTTCCTGGATTGGCAGCATTCCTTCAACTACGAATCCATTTAAATGGATTGCTATTTAAATTGAAGTAGTGGCATGTAGCTTTTCCCACCCTTTTACTGCACATGGTGTCAGAGCCCTTAATAATCAATGTTTCAGGTCTGTTTCCCTCTCTACTTAAAATCCTCTTTGATTTAGGTACCTAGATCTCTATTTTTTGTTTTGGCATATGGTTGTTACCTCAGACTTGGCAGTTCTTTACTGATTGTTAATTTATGCATGAAAAAAATTTTAAGTATTAATGACTGAAATAAAAGAAGCCAATTTGATTTCTCCCAACCTAAAGAAGGGATCCTTCCTCATTGGTTTCTTTCCAAACTTCCATTCCAGACATCGGAGAATAAAAAGGAAGATGATAAAATGAAGGAACGGCTAGGAAGAAAGAGAGAGAGAGATGCATGATTAGAAGCACTCCAAGAAAAATGTTTCACATCAGAAGTGAATTAGAGGGCGCCTGGGTGGCTCAGTTGGTTAAGCAACTGCCTTTGGCTCAGGTCATGATCCTGGAGTCCCGGGATCGAGTCCCACATCGGGCTCCCTACTCAGCAGAGAGTCTGCTTCTCCTTCTCACCCTCCTCCCTCTCATGCTCTCTGTCTCTCATTCTCTCTCTCAAATAAATAAAAACTTTAAAAAAAAAAAAAAAAGAAGTGAATTAGAAGTAGTTGGACTTCTCCAAAGATACAGTTGGAAAAACCATTACGAATTTCCAATGATCCATTTTAAAATTGTGAAACTATCAAATTCACTTTCAATCTTGTTTACAGAGCATTGGAAACAAATATAATTATGGAATACCATTACTTTATGTCACTTCTGCTAATAGTGGTACAGTGTTTTCAAAATTTGGGAAGCATATTATCTGGTCAATCTTTAGAGAAAAATTTGTTTTGTATTTTACAAATACTTTATCTCCATGGGCTACAAATATCCATATGCTTACCTTAATAAAAAAGAGTTTCACTGTGTGTACAGGAATTAAAAAGATTCACTATACTAAAAGACACGAAGATTGTTAAAGACAAGTGTGTTCTTACAATTAAGAATACCAGAAATAGCTCTATACTTCTTGATTCTTCATTCTGGAAATAAAATATGAACACCTGCAAAAGGAAAAAAACAATGGTTAAATAGGAAGTTTTTTGGTTTGATGAATTTTATCTATATAATTGTGAACTGACCCGCTGAACGGTCCTACTAACACGTGCCCTGATTTCACCATGGGTATTGGTAGATGTCTATTCCAAAATGTGTAGCAAGAGGTGGTATTCCTTCCTCCCAAGGTCTATGAGGTACTGTGCTTTTATTTGAAGCAGTAAGATTCAGCAGTTACTCCTTACCTGGTGAGACAATCTTGGGTGTCTGTGTTAGCCTCCCCAAATAATGAGAGAGCAACAGTGTTTTCTCCTTATCCCCCAGAGCTTCATATATCCTATGTCCATTGATCCTTCAGAAGGCCCCTTCCTTTTTTTCCCTTCCCTTTCCCCATCTTCACTCACGTACTCCATCTTTGTTCCTTTCGTAGAAGTCCATACTTCTACATCTCTATCTATATAGTTGTAGAAGCTGATACTTCTACATCTCTATCTATATAGTTGTAGAAGCTGATACTTCGCTCTCTAGAAAAAAAGGGGGGGTGGAGATTTTATTCCTATTGAATGCCTCTCTAGAATCTTGAGATCCCAAAGATTAGGGGTATTTCATTCGCCTATTTGCTGCTCTATTTCCGACCACCTATTACCCTGTCTCCCCACACATGGACCAGGACCAGGTTTTCTAACACAATTCAGCTGGAGCACACTGCCCTATCTAGAAGGAATTCAACTGGAATCCATGAGGTAGAAATCTTTAAATGCCATGTATATTCAGCATGGAAGAGAGCCCCAAATCCCAAGCATAGCTTCCACAACTGGTTAAGAGTTCCCAGGACACTGGGGCAGACAGCAGCATTACTTACCTGAAAATATAAGAACATACAGCCAATTAACGTGGCGTGTGGTACCAAAAAGGTGACACAGTACAGTGCGACATGTCCATAGTGTTCAAACAGCAATATAAACACAGAGAAGATGGTGATCTAAAGAAGATATGAACATGCACGTTAACCACTCTGCATTTCCACGTATGCTCCAAATTGAGATGGCTCATCTTGAGGATATTCCTAAGAATGAGACATGACTGGATATATCTAGGATCTAATAGATAACTTACTTTCATTACAGAAAAGGAAGAAAGTTGGCATTATATTGATTTTGGAGGTAAAATTAGTAGATAAGCAATAATCAGAGGGAACACAAATTGACATCTCCTGGGGATGATACAACGGCAACAGAGAAGACTTCTGTTAGGGACACCAGTGGGGAAAGAGAAGCATGGAACAACCCGGAGTGGCTTCAGTGGAAGTACTCAAATTCAAAAATTCAGGGATAAGAGAGAGTTACAGGGACAAGGGGAGCTCTCAGACTTTTTCTTCCAGAACATTGCAATGATAAAAGCTTCCTAACAGTTTTTGTACTTCTTTCTGTTATGAATTACCATTTTTATGGCATTCAGCATATTCTTCCTAAAAGTATATTTCTTTCTTTCTTTTTTTTAAAGATTTATTTATTTATTTGAGAGAGAGAGAGCAAGCGAGTGGGGGGTGGGGTATAGAGAGAAGGAGAATCTCAAGCAGACTCCCCACTGAGCGTGGAGCCGGATGTGGGGCTTTATCTCACAACCCTGAGATCAGGACCTGAGCTGCAATCAAGAGTCCACTGCTTAATCAACTGAGCCACCCAGGCACCCCTAAAAGTATATTTCTGATCAAATTTCTGTTCTGCCCTCTAAGCTTCCACGGCTTCCCACAGCCTGTAGGATAAATTCTTGAGTGCATCATTAAAGGCCAATGTGGTTCCAACCAATATTTTTATCATAACTAGGGCCACGCCCATGCTGCACTTTGTTCTCTTCCCTTATCCATGCCAGATTATTACCAGTTCTCAGGATAAGCCTGGACTTTCTCCCCTGAGTTTCTGTTCATTCACTGACTCATCAGTCTTCTCTAGCTACTAAAATCTTACTCTTCAGGTTTCAGTTCCTCAAGGAAATCTGTGCTCTCATTTTCATGAGTTAATCTTTCCCTTCTCTGGTTGTCATAGAAACAATCTTTTAAGAGGAGATAATCTTTTGCTTATCACTTTGCTTTAGTAAGTGGCTATTTAGTTCTCTGTTTACCCTCTGAGTGCCCTCTCAGGGTTGAAACCGTCTTATTTTTTCTGCATTATCGATCTTCGTTTGTGACACATTGTTGGAAGCCAACTAATATTTGTCGAAATGATAATTTACTTTTTGGCAGTTGAAATGACAGGAAATCAGAATAGATGCTAGGAGATAACACATATTTTTCCTTCCTAATTTACATAAAATAAGTGTTGCTTTTATGGAATTAATTCTAGTAGAGTATGGAGAAGTAGTTTCTAGTTTTAACTATGCTAGCAACAATATTTGTAATCCTGTATTATCTTTGTGGAGGTCTTTGGGCTTATTTCTTTTTCAGTAAAAAGAAGACACAAATGGCTTCCAGGTTGCCTTCTAGCAAATACTTTATGGTTCTAGAAACAATTTAGTGACTTTTAAAAGAGACAAGGGTAGAAATTAGGAAGAGGAAAAAGATGCAGACTTTGAAAAGGATCCTACCTAAGGAAAACAAAATACTTTAGACTGTAATACTAATTTTTCATTCTACTGAGGGCACATTTTAAAGTACTGGCTCAGAATTGTATATTTAAATGCATAAAATGAATGTTCACAAGAAATATACTTACCATACAGAAGCAAAAAGACCAAATGCCACTATTTCTTTTCCCCTTGTGAAAAATGAATGAAATCACATATGTCAAGAAGATAAGGGAGGCGGCATAGCCAACCGCACACAGGATCTGAAATCAACAGGAATGTTTAGTTAAAGACAAATGCACTCTAAGAAAACGTTAGGATCCAAAAGATTGTTAGAGCACAGGGTTCTACAGTTATTTCATTTATGACAATGTAACTAACAATGCAAACAGTTTGCCCCTTCAAATGTTGTCATTAAATCATACAGGATATTTGTTCTATGAAGATGGTCACTTACTTGTATAATCTGATTTACAACTGTAAATAGAGTGTCTTGGGCATTTAAACCGTAGTCCACCAAATACATAAGAAGGAAGATCAAGCAGTACACCGGAACATCCACCAGCGCCTGCCCACACCAGTATGCAGAAGGGAAGAGGCCCGAAATCCATAGCAGGGACTGAGCTTTGCTCTGATTAAAAAACAGCAAAGATACAAAGTGGCATTTCCACTTGAGGCTTAAGAAAATATGGCTTATGTAAGGAAATATTCAAACAAAATTTTCATTTGTAATAGTTCTGCATCATGCTATAAGCATCATCTGGACCAAGGGATACGGATAATTCCAAACATAAGTGATCAGTTTGCTGCTTTGATTAACAACACTGATGTTCATCACACACCTGGTAGAAATATGTGAAGGAAGAGCTAAGTGTAATCAAGGCATTAACGCTGCAGTAAACAATATAGAGATTAATGATGTATGGGAGCGTAAATCAAATTATACCTCAGACAGGAGCCTCATTTGGCTAATCAGAGACTATCAGCAGATTAACTATTTTTTTTAAAGATTTTATTTATTTGAGAGACCAAAAGAGAGAGAGAGAGAGAGTATGATTGGGGGAGGGACAGAGAGAGAAGCAAACTCTCCACTGAGCAGGGAGCCTGACATGGAGCTCGATCCCAGGACCTGAAGATCATGACCTGAGCCGAAGGCAGACCCTTAACAGACTGAGCCACCCAGGCACCCTGAATTTAATTATTTTTAAAAGAAAAAATATATTCAAACTTGTTTAATTGTTTATTATAATTGTTTAATTTGTGCCAAACCCCACATCACTTGATAAGTAATCTTAAAATATGGGATTTGGTATGTTTATTCAGAGAATGACAAGGAATACAAGATACATGATATTTATGAATGTAATAATATTGATGTATGTATGCATAAATATTTGGATGGGTAATAAATATTTGAATGTGTGCTATGTCAAAATGACCCCAGTGCATCATTTACTTATAACTAAAAGAATAAAGCAATTTTATATGTATATAAGAATACATATTGTTTTATATATTTATGTAGAATATAATAATAAATAAAGTATAGTATTTTATATATATAAAATATATCATCTTTGGGGAGAGACTTGTGCTGTCTCTTTGTATATAATAAATATATATATATAATAAATATATATATAATAAATATATCTATAATATTATTACATTCATAAATATTATGTATTTTGCATTCCTTGTCATTCTCTGAATGAACATACTAAATTACATATTTTAAAACTATTTATCAACTACTTAAAAATACTACTTAACTACTTATAAATAGTTAAATTCATTTGCTAGCGGTCTCTGATTAGCTAAATGAGGCTCCTGTCTTAGATGTAATCTGACCTAAGGATACATATCAAAATCTCCCAGCATAGGCCTGTTCGGTTCGCACAACTGACAAGGTTCTGGTGCCGGACTGATCTGTGGGTGAAGCCATGAGGTTATATTTTATTAAAATTAGGCTATCTTTAAGATTAGGCTGTCTTTTATTGCCCATCTTTAAAATTAGGCTATCTTCTATTACTAAGAGTTCTTTATATTCTTGACACAAATCTTTCTTTTTTTTTTTTAATATGGAATGCTTCACAAATTTTTGTGACATCCTTGTGTAGGGACCATATTACTCTTCTGCGTATCTTCCCAATTTTAGTTTATGTGCTGCCAATGCAAGCACGATATAAGGCTTTTGTTAGATGTATGAGTATTGTGAATATTTTTCTCCCAGCCCAAAGTTTTTTATTTTACTATTTTACTATTGGTGTTTTACAAAGAGCAAAAGGTTTTAACTTTGATGAGTTTCAAGTTCTCATTTTCTTTGAAGGTATATGCTTATTCTGTCCCATCTAGGAAATAACTCCCTACCACAAAATCTATGATTTATTTCAAAATAATTTTGTGTATGGCGTGAGGTAAGTGTTGAGAACATTCTTTTTTCCTCATACCAATGTCAGGTTGTTCTGGTAAATTTTGCTGAATTCCCTGGTAGTTTCACTGAAAATCAACTGATAATACCTGAATTGTCTATTTCATTTCATATGCCCATATGACTCTCTTAAATAAATACAACACATTCTTCATTCCTATAACTTTGTAGTAAGCCTTGAAGTCAGAAGCATAACTCACCCATCATTGTTTTTTCCTTCTTCAAAGTTATTTTGTCTATTCTAGGCTCTGCATATCCATGTAAATTTTAGAATCATTCTCTATCTGTAATCTATTTATTTATCCCTATATTTATAAAGACTTAAAAAAAATTTTTATATCTTAGGACTTATTGCTGAGTTGGCTGCTCTATTAAACACGTATAAATAGCCCTAAGGAAAATCCTGTAATTATATTACCCTTCAGCTTCTATTCATACAAAGTAATGAAGGTTTCATTATTACCTTATAATCATCAATGCTGCTCATGGCAATATAAGGAGTACATGAGGATGTCAAAATCAACCAGGGCATGGAATATCCCTGGAATTCATGTGGATTACTCCTTCTGTCCTGAAAATGCAAAGAATACAATGAGCTGAATAACAAATTCAAAATTTGTTTTCTGGAATACATTTTAAAAAATATTAAACTGATGATATATACTCCTGCCTTAGGTCCCTGTAGAGGTTCCCAAACTCTTTCATTATCCATCCAATTTTGAAGCTTAACTCTTGGCTTTCTATCCAAATTCATAGATAAGGAAAATGACTCAGAGAAGGTGAATGAATTGATAATTCAACACAGTTGGAAAATAAAAAAGGAGTAATATTTGTCATTTTCTTATGTGATGCTTCTAAAATTTATTCTGATGCTAAATAATAAATAATGATCATTCCCAGGTGAAACATTCCATTTTTAACTCCTATTTAATTATTTCAAATGTGATAGCTTGAGTGAAAAAATCATATCAGATGTTTTATGGGCAGAGTGATGCTAAGTATCTTTCTAGGTACACCAGGAGACCAGCTAAATATTGGTTGAGGGTTCAAAAGTAGAGGTGAAGTACAGTACTAGAAGGGGAAGTGAAATCTCCAAGAAAAACCTTTGCACCTTGGCTACACATATTGTTGCTCCTGTTTGGAACAATCTTTGAGGACAGAGGATTCACAGACTGCCCTGAAAGCAATTCCCATGTTACTTATATGATCCACATAGGTGTTGTTTGATTACACATATTACTGAAAAAAAGTTATTATAAGCAGAGTCTGGTCGTTTTCAGCCTGGCCATTAGAGACACACTTGCTAACTACAGAAAGGTGAGATTTAAGCTTATTGACAGGATCTTTTCAGAACACCTTACATGCTGGGTAGGTTCAGGACTCAGTCGTAAGTCCGTGACTTTGAACAGGACAGACACAAGGTCTGAAACTACAGAAAACTCTTACTTGAGCAATGAATGGGTAAATTCAAATAGAACAGGAAATGAGCTGCTGGAGATATTAAAGTTCGAATGTTGGGCACATAAGTGCAAGGTCAAACAAAGTCATTGGTATCAAACTCTTCGCAGCTAAAACAGAATGTTTTCATAGATGGAAGCTCAAGGCAATTTGTTCAATTTGTAGCCTCCCTCAGAAATCAGAAAATTGATAGGAGGTTAATTAAACGAACCATAGAACAGGTTCTAAAATTAATTAATACTTGATGGAGAATTAGAACTTTTTGCTTTAATGATTTAGTTTCTTACACATTCTTAATTGAAAGGGATTTTCATTTTCTGAACACACCATGAGGTATGTTGTGAGAAGCTAACTCAAGATCTTGCAGGAGTGTATAAAAATAATGGTGGGTTCATTTTATATACACATGAGTAACTGGTTCTTAGCCATATGTATTATCATAAAACCTTACACTGGAATGGAATATAGATCATTTGCTGACCTCTGACATTCATTTATGCATTTAACAAATAAATTAGTGCTTATCATTTTCCAGGCCCTATCTCAGGTACAAAATATTACGTAGTGTTAAAAATACGTGGTCTCGGGCGCCTGGGTGGCTCAGTCGGTTAAGCGTCTGCCTTCGGCTCAGGTCGTGGTCCCAGGGTCCCGGGATCGAGCCCCGCATCGGGCTCCCTGCTCGGCGGGGAGCCTGCTTCTCCCTCTGCCCCTCACCCTACTCTCATGCTCTCTCTCACTCTCTCTCTCAAATAAATAAAATCTTTAAAAAAATTTCATGTTCTCTGTGTTCAAAGAACTCTCTAAGAGGAAGAACTATATTTAGGAAATAAGAAAAAAGGAATAATTACAAACTCCAATAGGTATTCTGGTTTCTAAACTTACAAAACTGTATACAGTCTAATCACCTGGGCTTTTTTTTTAGAAATAAGGAATTCCCCCCCCCCTCCCGCCGGTATGAAAAATCTGGTTTGGTAGGTCTAGGGTTGGCTCAGATAATGAGTATTTATTACAAGGAACTGGAGTAATTTTAATGTGACCAGTCTGCAGTTTTGGCCTGAACTTTGTCCTAAGTGTTTTCCTCTTGTAGCATATTTCTAAAAGTACTAAGACTTCAATTTCTTTTCTTTTCCTCTCCTCTCTGTCCCCCCTCCCACCATCCCTCCTTCCTTTCTTTCCTTCCACCTGTTGTTATTTTTGTGCTAGTCTTAGAGCTGCTTGAGTTCGTTTTCATTACCTCACATTCTCTTTGAAAAATATTTTGTTAGTTCTGTTTTGCATTTAAAAAATTGAAGCTCTGGGGCGGCTTGGCTGGCTTAGCTGGTAGAGCGTGTGACTCTTGACCTTGGGATTCTGAGCTCAAGCCCCACGTTGGGTGTAGAGGTGACTTAAAAAATTGAAGCTCTAAAAAGCGTACTGATTTTTCAAAACCAGAAGCTAGCATGAATACAAATGGTAATTTATTATGCAGTAGTTTACTCAACAGGAATGAGATCACAGCACTTAAAAGAGTGATGGGGGAGATCCCTGATGGAGGAGAGTCCAGATCCTGATGGAGGAGAGTCAATATACTTACCCTTAAAAATGTACTTCTGTCAGTTTGGATATGTGCTGATGGTGTAATCATTCCAAGTAGCGCATTACTAATAATATCCATAAGAACTGGGAAGCAATTTAGTCTTTTGCTATTGCATGCTAATGAAAATCTGTAATTCTAAAATATAAAAAGTAAGGTTATAAATTCTCAAAGATCTTCATTTTTTTTGCTGAAGAGGTCAAAATTCAATATTTTGATGAAAAGATCATGTTTTAAAAATGATGTCAAAAGACATGTATCATATGACCTTGCTGATATGAGGAATTCTTAATCTCAGGAAACAAACTGAGGGTTGCTGGAGTGGTGGGGGCTGGGAGGGATGGGGTGGCTGGGTGATAGACATTGGGGAGGGTATGTGCTATGGTGAGCACTGTGAATTGTGTAAGACTGTTGAATCACGGATCTGTACTTCTGAAACAAATAATGCAATATATGTTAAGAAAAAAAAAAGAAGAAGACAGCAGGAGGGGAAGGATGAAGGGGGGGAATCAGAAGGGGAGACGAACCATGAGAGATGATGGACCCTGAAAAACAAATTGAGGGTTCTAGAGGGGAGGGGGGTGGGGGGATGGGTTAGCCTGGTGATGAGTATTAAAGAGGGCACGTTCTGCGTGGAGCACTGGGTGTTATGCACAAACAATGAATCATGGAACACTACATCAAAAACTAATGATGTAATGTATGGTGATTAACATAACAATAAAATTTAAAGAAAAAAATGATGTCAAATAATCAAAGCAGAAAACAAACACTGTGTAAGTAAAACAAAACATATATGTAGGCTGTATCTAATTTTCAGGACACCAGACATCTGGCTTAAGGCTAGAATCAAGTAATACTGTTTAAGAATAAAACAGAGGTTTCAGAATATATGTATTATAAAATCATGGAGAGGAATCTGAGTTCTTTGGACTCAAATATGCACTTGACAGTGGCTATGATATAGTATTTATTTTGTTAATACACGCAGTTTGTACTGGTAGACAATGATTAAGATATGAATTATTCATCATATTAATACCATTCACTACGTAATAAAAGCAGTATTTGTTTTTCATTTTGTTTCCTAAAGGGGATAACTGAGTACACTGATATATTAGCTTTTCCACACCTCTGGGAAGCATTATGAAACAGAGACCAGCATACCTTTGTATTACCAGATACTATGATGGCTCCATTATAAGATGGGTCATCCAGGCCATTTTTAGTTCCAAATATATCCACTTCCAAAGCTATGTTCTGATGCTCCACAGAACGTATAAAATCATCAATGCTTGCCCCTAAGTTGTAGTTAGGTATATCACAAAACTTAGAAAATCAATATCAGGTTGTACAGTGAAATTATAATTAATGTCATTATGTGATTTTTACTGTAATATGGACTGTCAGGATATTTTTCCACATAAGAACATACTTGCTACTGTGAATTAAAAGTCTATTCACTTGTCATGCAGTTTACTTTATAATGTTTATTTGCTTCTGATTACTGCTAATGTGAAAGGTAAAAGTCTTTTTTACCACCATATGGCATTTGGACTAGATATATTCCCCCAGCATATTGCAATGAGTGGCCGTAACAATTAACGTTTTAGTGACACAGATAATCTCCAGTAACTAACCACCAAAATTGCTAAATCTCACTTCACTCCTGTTACATTATTAACTGACTTTCAAAATGTGTCTTGAAACAGCAAGACAACTTGCTGGATGAAGGCATGGAGTGGTTCGTGGGCCTTCCCCTAGAAAAGTAACCACAACTTGTGAAAATTACTAAAAATCCAACAAGTTAAAATCTCTTGACTGTCTTAAGGGCATATAGAAAATGGAAAAAAAAAACACATTTATTTAAGAAAATCTAATAAATCTGGGGAAGAACACTAAGAAACTGGCATTTGAGCCAAAAACCTGCACCTTCACTCCCTGTCCTTGATTAGTATGACAGAAGCTCCACTCTGACTGTATTTAGCCAAGAACTTGTGCCTACAATAGAGTTTCCATCTTATGAGTAGAGAATGGATGGAAGAAGAGAACTCCAGACCTCTCACTGCCTGGGATGGAGTTTCTGCAACACAGGACTGGAAGGAATGAGAGAGGTTGGTGGCCAGCCCCTTCTAGGAAGATAACTGGATAGCCATTGAAGTTGCATCCCTTCCTCACACCATACATGAAAATTAACTCAAAATGGATCACAGACCTACATATAAGAACTAAGAGTATAAAAACCTTAGAAGAAAATATGGAAATAAATCTTTGTGATCTTGGGGTTAGGTAAAGCTAAGATGTGACACCAAAAGCACAAGCAAAGGAAAAAAATAAGTTAGACCTCATAAGAATTAAAACATGTTCCAAAGGACACCAATGAGAAAATACAAAGGCAATCTACAGGATGAAGTGAAATATTTGTAAAACATTTGAAGTCGATTCTCATTATTAATGGTACATATATTCTCTAACGTCACCACAAACACTGAATTAGTGAATTCTTAATTATTGCTCTGAAAGGAAACACAAGGTTAGTTTCCTGTGAGCCTCTGGTCACAACAGTTTCTTTGACCAATCAATGTATCATCATATTTTATATATGTTTTGGTGTATATATTATTGATTCATTAACACTGACCTCACAGCCAACAGCACTATAACATCATGCCTGAACAAAATTTATTTAACACACATATTTTCTCTGTAAGTTACCTCACAGCCTTCCCTACTTAGGGACACTGGAAAGCACTTCCACACTATTCTTGGGGGCCATTTTCAACAGCAAAATCACCAAAAAAAATCATGAAAATGTCAAAAATATGGCACTAAATAGACTACAGAAAGAATATTTATGTACAGTATGAAAGCTGAAACGAGAAGGCAGAGTATCACCTTGTTCTACCTCAGCTGGAAATTGTGCATCAGGTGACTCAAATTTTTCAGTTCTCTGAGCATGTCTGTGAATGACTATGAAAGAGCCATGAGGATTGGTTTCAGGGTCACAAATAAATTTTACTGACTAGACAAGTTTACAAATACGGAATCTGTGAATAGTGAGGATTTATTTCATCTAATAAGAGACATGTATCTAGAATACATAAAGAACACTTAGGACTCAATAAAAAGGACACACAACCCATTTTTTAAAAAGACCTTTCTCCAAAGATAGATATACAACTGGTCAGTAAGCGCATGAAAAGATGCCTAAGGTCACTAGCTATTAGCAAAATGCAAATCAAACCACAAGATACTACTTGATTCAGGGCACCTGGGTGGCTCAGTCAGTTAAGCGGCTGCCTTCGGCTCAGGTCATGGTCCCGGGGTCCTGGGATTGAGCCCCACATCGGGCTCCCTGCTCCGCGGGAAGCCTGCTTCTCCCTCTCCCACTCCCCCTGCTTGTGTTCCCTCTCTCTCTGTCTCTCTCTCCGTCAAATAAATAAATAAAATCTTTAAAAAAAAAGATACTACTTGATTCACACTAGGAGGGGTAAGACAAAAAAAGAAAATAACACGTTTGGGTGAATACGTGTAGAAACTGGAATCCTCACAAACTGCTAGCATAAAAATAAATTGGGGTAGTCACTTTAAAAAAGTTTGGCTGTTCCTCAAAAGATTAAATATGGTCACCATATGATGCCACAATTCCATTCCTGGGTTTCATCAACGAGATGAAAAAAAAAATACATTCATTCAAAAACTTGGACATGGATCTTTATAGCAGTATTATTCATAATAGCCAGGAATATACCCATCATTTGGTGAATAATAAATAAATGTAGCATATTCACACAACAGAATATTATTCCACAATTAAAAGATTAAATACTGAAACATGCTACAACATGTATGAACCTTGAAAACATCACGTTAAGTGAAAGAAGTCAGTCATAAAAGATCAGACATCGTATAATTCTGCTTATATCAAATGTCCAGAGTAACAGATCCATAGAAACAGAAAATTTGTGGTTTCTCCAAGCTGGGGACAGAGTGAATGGGAGTAAGTACTCACGAGTATGGGATTTCTTTTTGAGATGAAAATGTTCTAAAATAAGTTGTAATGACGGTCACACAATTCTGTGAAATACACTCAAACCCACTGAATTGTACACTTGGAATAAATGGAATAGCACGTGAGTTATATCTCAAGCTGTTACAAAATTCTTTTTTTGATACAAATGCTTTCATCTTGCACCAGCTGCCAGAAAATTTATTTCTCCTTGGCAAATCCTCTCCTAGTTCCTTCTGCATTTTGGGCTTGTATTCATCATCCTCAAGCCTCATGAGCAGTTTTATGCTGAAGAAGTCCAAAGCTCATTTTTCTCTCTCATGTTTTATGTTGTCTATGTAACCTTCATAACAGTGAATGCATTTAGGAATGGAGTATTCACCCCATCTCACCTGTTTTATTGATGATCAATAACTGAGTGAGAGGATCATGTGATTGCTGTCCTGGAGCAAGGAAGTATAAACGAGGAGAAAGGTCCCAAGTGTAGCTCTTTTCATATATTTTAGTGATGATATTCTTCAAAAGAAGAGGGCAAATTCCAACTCCTAGAATCAAGAGCCTACACAGAAGAAAGGGGCCAGCATGAATGCAGTCATTTCAGAACCTTTCAGAACTGTCTGAGCAGATGTTGATGTGATGAGATCAAAAGATTATGAAAATTAAACCTAGAGCTCTCTGACTCACTTTTTGAGTATTTCGCCCTTTTCCTACCTCTTAATTAAAGATAACAAGATGGAGATTTATCCTTTGCTCACTTCTCTTGTTACTCTCTGGCTATTGCATATCCCACACGGTTTCAAGGGGCAGGTGTCCTTTAACTGCGCCTGCAGATTCGGTTTCTCTCCTGAGACTCCAGTTCTTTGCCCCCCCTTCCCGCTAGTTAATCCATCTGCACTCGGTACTCAATTTTCTTCACATCTACTCCTCTTCACATGGTCCCTATTTCTGTTAGTGACAGCAGAATTTCTTTAGTCTCCAGACTCAAATTTTCAATTATTCTTTACTCTTTATTCTCCTGTATTCTCCATTTCAAATAGGTTGAATTTTTTTTTTTTAATTTGAGAGAGAGAGAGAAAGAGAGAGGGCATGGGCGAGGTGGGGAGGGGCAGAGGGAGAGGGAGAGAGAGAAAATCCCCAGGCAGACTCCCTGCTGAACACAGAGCCCAACACAGGACTTGATCTCATGACCCTGAGACCATGACCTGAGCTGAAACCAAGAGTTGGACGCTTTACCAACGGAGCCACCCAGTCACCCCTCAGTTGAAAATTTTTATTGTTCTTCATATTTTACTTCAAAACTTTTCTCTATTCCTAATTTCTAATTTCACAATATTACGTCTTGTTTGAATTCTTGCTAAATGCCTGGCATCTGTCCAGACTCTGTTGCACAGGGTTGCCAGATTAATAATAAAGGTTTTTCTTAAATCATGCTCTCTCCTTGTCAAAGGTTCTCAATGAATTCCCATTACTTATTTTGTAAGTATTTATTGAGACCCTATTATATCTTTTTGATGCTTAATCAAAGTATTCATAGACCAGGTACTTGACAGCCAGACACAAGGTGCCAATGAGAGGTAATGTGAATCTGAGGAGCAGGGACAGTAACCACCATGCACACAGAATGAGGGGCGCCTGGGTGGCTCAGTCAGTTAAGCAACTGCCTTTAGCTCAGGTCATAATCCCAGGGTCCTGGGATCGAGCCCCACATCGGGCTTCTTGCTCAGCAGGGAGCCTGCACTCTCTCTGATATATAAGTAAATAAAATCTTAAAAAAAAAGGAAGTATGGAGAGTGAACTAGCATCACTTAAGAGGGCTGGTGGGAAGTTATGACATGTAGATAAGCACAAGTAGAACCCAGTGGGAGAGTCAGGACATCCAGGGAAGAGTCAGGAGCATTACTGTATAGTATCCAAAATAAGGCATCGGCATATGGATACGCTAGAGAAAAAAAAAATCCACATCCTAATGTTTCAGTCACCTACCCTAGTGGAAAATTTGAAAGAGACGGAATAACACAGGAAAATTACATTACTTCAACTTTTTCCTGAAAATGGCCTCCAAAAACATTATAAATTTCCCCTGCTAGAATGCCGACAGGTAACCACTGAAACCATTTACTCAACTGGGTATTATTCTTTATCCAGTTTTGTAGGTGCAGACATGTGTTTTTATTTTTTGATCGTCTTCTCTTGTTTTAACATCTTAGATTTGTCTTTTAATGTATTGACTGGAAAAAAAAACAAAACAAAACTGCCTGTGGCCCTCTGACACTCACAGAGATAAGAGAGCTTTTCTTTCATGCTTTAACTTCAAGAAGCGAACCCGTGCAATCGTGCAGAGTTGCTGTCTCCAGAGAGCCAGGCCCCCTATTGTCTTTGTCATCTCATTGAGTGAACTGAGAACTTGTTCCGTCTCAACAAGCCTCTCTGTGTCTCCGGTTCTTTCTGCCTGTGCTTCTCCCAACGTGGCAATATCTGCAAAAACAAAACAAAACAAAACAACAACAACAACAAAAAATTCATAAAACCCCACTTCAGATGGACATTATAGAGCTTATTGGAGGAGTTGTTTTACCAATGATATCACAGTCTTCTGCGAAACTGTAGGCATTATGTGGTGCAAGGGCATCTTAGATCATTTGGATACAGACAATACATTAAAGAGGTTATGATGAATATGCAAGATCACATAGTGCCCCCCAGGCACCCCAGAGACTGTCACCTCTCTTACCAAGAAAAGAATACCCGCTGTACTAACATACACTACCACATACATTCATGGAAGTTCCAGAAGGAGAGTTGGGAGAGAAAGGGTCAGCAAGTACAGTTGAAAAATTAATGGCTAAAAACTCCCCAAATTTGATGAAAAACATTAACCACACATATAAAAAGCTCACCAAAATCCCAGCAGGATAAATGCAAGGAGATCAACACCTAAAGACATCAGAGTCAAGCTGTCAGACAAAAACAGAATCTGGAAAGCAGCAAGAGAAAAACCACTCACCATACGCAAGAGATTCTCAATAAGATCTAAAGCTGACTTCTCATCAGAAACTGAGGAAGCTGACAGGCAGTGAGAGGGCGTGATCAGAATGCTTGAGAAGAGAGACTGAAAAATCAGTGTTTTGTCTGAAATTGCTCTTGGGAAGCGGGATGAAGGCAGCGAGCGCTGGTTAGAAGAAAATGGGCCATCCCTAATAACAAGGCAATATTGGCAGAAAAGGTAACAAAAGTCACAGGGACGCATTTTGGTTTTATTTATCCCTGTCTAGGAATGGACTTGTGTCTTATGGAAATATATACTGCATGAGGTGTTGTGAATACCGTTACATGATTGCGCTCATGCATTTTATTTACCTGATTCATCAACAGCTGATTTTCCTTCCAGTTTCAGGAACACTTCGTTCAAGGTTGTCATGGAAACACCGTAATTCTCAATCCCCAGGCCAGGACATCTATCCAGATCCTCATAAAGTGCTGCAGAACACACACACAGTAGCAAATCAAAACAACAAAAATCACAAGTGAGCTGAGGACAACCTTTCAAACTAAAAAGCACAAATATATGAAGTCATACTTGTGATAGGTCAGACATTTTATTTTTTTTAATTTTATTTATTTATTTTTTTTAATAATTTTTTATTGTTATGTTAACCACCATACATTACATCATTAGTTTTTGATGCAGTGTTCCATGATTCATTGTTTGTGCATAACACCCAGTGCTCCACGCAGAATGTGCCCTCTTTAATACCCATCACCAGGCTAACCCATCCCCCCACCCCCCTCCCCTCTAGAACCCTCAGTTAGGTCAGACATTTTAAAACTCATATTTCCTAATAAGGAATGTTATTCTTCAAATCCTATATGTTATTTTTAATTGTATATTGTGTTACAGCCCATATATTAATTAACTCGAATTATTTGAAGACTCTTTTCCAGAGCCACCTGTTTTAACCGACCCGAAGGAAAGAACTAATATTTTTGAGAATTAGTTGAATGGTGCAGAAGCTTTTTCAGTTCAGAAAATATCTGTTAAAGGAAGGACATAAATTATAAATCCTTTTTTTTTAATTTCAGCTTTTGACTGTGGAAGAAAAAATTCACAGTTCTCACAGAGAATGCAGAGCTGACTCAGGGCATCTTGGAATAGTAGGAAAGTGGCAGCCAGTCTCCCACTAGCAATTCTGTTATCCACTCATTCCTTAGTTTGTTTACCAAAAATACTTCGGGTATTCTTACAACAATGAACAATGTCCCTGCCTACATGGATCTGAATAATAACAGTTAATCAATGAAGCTTGAATAAAAACCTAATTTTAAATCCTAGTATGATTAGAGACATCCTGAAGATTCCACCTGCAGCTTCTTGTTGGACAAAAGGGTAAGTTAAAGGCTTTCTGTCTTGGTGAGAGGAACATATACAGAAAAGCAGAAAAGAAGTAAGATTCAAACTGCTAATGAGCATTATGTGTCATTCTTCATTTTACCTAAAATTTTACAGACTTCCTCTAAATTATAGCTAGTATGAAAACACATTAATTAGGGTTCAGTTAGCATTTTGCCTGATGGCTCTAAGGAATACTTGTGCTGTTACTGTAAAATGTATACTTGAATGACTTTGTGGGGTAATTTATGTGTCTGTTAACCACACTTAAGGGCTAGGCTAATTGCTTCAACCACCCAACGTGGACCTCATTTTACCCCATTACCAGGGAGCAAATCTTCTGAATGACATACATAATAAGTAAACTTTTTCTTTCTTTTTTAATTAAACTTTTTTTGAGATTATTTTATTATTTTGAGGGAGAGAGAGGGAGAGGGTGTGAGCAGGGGGAGGGGCAGAGGGAGAAGGAGAGAGAATCCCAAGCAGGCCCCACACCCAGCACAGAGCCCGATGTGGGGCTTGATCTCACGATCTTGAGATCATGACCTGAGCCAAAATCAAGAGTTGGACGCTTACCTAACTACCGCCCAGGTTTCCCTTGAGATAATTGCAGATTCACATGTGGTTGTAAAAAATAATAGATCTGTACACTTCACTCAGTATCCCCCGATGGTAATATCTTAAAAAGCCAGAGTAGGATATTACAACTATGCTATTGACATTAATACAATCAAGATACAGAACATTTCCATCACCACAAAGATCATGCTACCCACTGACAGCCACACCCATTGCTCCTGACCCATCTTCTCCCAACCCATGGCAACTACTAATCTGCTCTCCATTTCTAGAATTCTGTTATTTCAAGAATGTTATATACATTGAGTCCTACAGTATATAAACTTTGAGAACTGGCTATTTCCACTGAGAATAGCTTTCTGAATATTCATCAAGGTTGTTGCATATGCCAGTCAGTAGCCTGTTCCTTTTTATCATTGAGCAGCATTACATGTCAGGAATGTACCACAATTTAACCATTTACTTGTTAAAGGACATCTGGGTGTTTTCAGCTGTTGTCTGTTCCAAATAAAGCTGCTACAAACATTCATGTACCAGTTTTTGTGTGAATATGTTTTCATATCTCTAGGATAAATGTCCAGTAGTGAAATGATTCAGTTGTATGGGAGTTGCGGGAACTGCAAGCTTTTCCCCAGAGTGGCGGTGCCATTTTACACTCCGATCAGCAATGTGTGCGTGATCCATTTTGTCCACATCCTAGCCAGCATTGGATATGATCACTGTGTAAAAAAAAAATTTCTTTAGCTATTCTGCTAAGTATGTAATGAGATCTCACAGTGGTTTTAATTTGCAGTTCCCTACTGACATATGATACTGCACACCTTTTCATGTGTGTCTCTGCCACCTATAACATCATCTTCAGTGTCCCTTCTTATCTTTTGCCCATTTTCTAATTAGGTTGTTTGTTTTTAACAGTTGAGTTTTCAGAGTTCTTTATATGTTCAGATACCAGTCCTCTGTGACATACATAGTTTGCGAATACTTTCTCCCAATCTATAGCTCGTTCTGTCATCTTCTTAACAGGATCTTTCACAAAGCAATTTTTAAATTTTGATGGAGGACAACTTATTATTTTTTTCCTTTCATAGACTGTAATTTTGGTGTCCAGTCTAAGAACTCTGCCTAGTAGTAGATCCTGCAGAGTTTCTCTTATTCATTTAAAAAAAAAATGTGGTTTTACATTTTACATTTAAGTCCATGATTTACATTAAGTTAATTTCTGTATAATAAGGTGGGAGATTTAGGTTAAGGTTCATTTTTATGCCTGTGGATCTACTTGCTCCATTTGTTGGAAAGGTTATCCTTCGTCCATTGAATTGCTCTTCCACTTTTGTCAAAAATCAGTGAGGCATATCTGTGTAGGTTTATTTCCAGGTTCTTGAGTCTGTTCTATCTACCTTTGCATTGATCACTCTGCCAATAACACATTATCTTGATTATTCTAGTTTACATAATGCTATAACTCACTCCCCTGACTCTCCACAGAGTGGCCTGACCAAAACCACAGCTGCCTGCTTCAAAAGAGTTGATGGGGGCACTCAGAATCTCTGACCGGGCTGATTTCTGGGTGTCTTCTCCTGCAGAAAGCCAATCTTTGAAGACTAGAAGAGGTGCCTGCTTTATCTAGTGCATAGGCATCAACACAGAGCATCAAGGAAAATGAAAAATCAGTGGAAGATGTTCCCGAAAGGGAAACAAGATAAACCTTCAGAAACAGACCCTCCTGAAATGAAGCTATATGATTTACCTGACAAAGAATTCAAAATAGCTGTCAGAAAAGAAAAGAAAAGAAAAGAAAGCTGTCATAAAGTAAACTTTTATGCATTGGCCTAAAAACCCCAAAGTCATCACAAAAGTCTTATTAAGAGAAGAATCATGGGGCTGTTTGTAATGGTTAAGCCAGAGGTTTTTAACCATTTGTATTCATTCACAGTTATGAACACTAGAATATTTTGCTATGTACTACAAAGGGAATGAATGACTAAAAATCTTCCCAAAATACCCAGACACTGTAACGCAACTACAAGAATGTAGTATTTCTCACTGTAGATAAAATCATCCAGTTACTGTATTATTCTTTGCATCATGTTTCAAATAGCTGAACACATTGTAAGCTCTCAATATATAGGAATCATCATTATTACTATGAATATTATTTACATATTTCATTTCATAGTGTTCTTGTACATTACCTGGAAATCTATTTGTTCTTTCTAAGGGCAATGTGTAGACAAGTTTTCCTTCACTTTCTGCTGATAATTTGGCATCAGGAATGTGCTGTTTAATAAGTGATGTTATATTTTCCTGAACATGCATTTCTTTCAACTGCAAACTGGTGTTTGAAAAAAAAGAAAAAGATCTATGTTATTTGACATGGTCTCCAGTGGCATGAGGAAAATTACTAACTTCTAGGGGACAAAGAAAAATCAATTAAAATCCAATGCAAGAGATAGGCCGTTCAAACATGAAATGAGAGGACAAAAAATCAGATCATATAAATGTAATGGGAGAAAGCAGGGGCAGGTAATCAGAACTACTGGTCAGGCATTCAGGTTATGATGCCCAGACAAGGTTGGTACTCACTCAAGTCCTTAAAAGGAGAACAGTGGCAGAATACAGATAACAGGGACACAACCAGGACTACGGAAAATGGAAAATGGTGTGGATTTTTCAAAGGGAGTTAATAGGATTATTGCATTGGGCAAGAAGAAGGGATTTTTGATAGGCAAACACACAAAGCAGGTTCAGTTATTTAATTTACTCTTTCATACATATTTATTGTTATTAGTATGTGACAAAAATATCCCTAAATGCTGAGGGTACAATGGTGAATAAAAGAGCATTGCCCTGCTCTTATGGAGTTGACTGTCTAATGGGGAAACAGGGAGAAAACAAATAAACAGATAAAGAAATGATTAAAAATAGTAGTAAGTGCTATGAAGGAAATGGGTTATAGATAGAAATTAACTGTGAATGAACGTGGGTATGGTTTGTTGAGATCACTAATTTTTGCTTTCTTTGTGTGCTAAACTCAGAACTTTGACTAAGAACAAACAATCATAGAGAAAACCAATCTATCCATTTAAAACCACCATGGATAACTCCCCAGTGTAGGAAAACAAACAAAAATGTATTAATCAAGATTATAAAGTATGTAGTGGACAAAATATCAGTAGTGGCTTGGCTTCTAACCTTGGTTTTGCCATTTGAAATGTATTACTTAACCTATTTGGACACTTTGCTCATTAGCAAAAATGGAATAATGATTCCTAACATCTAAGGTTGTCCTAAGAACAGAATAATAGTGATGTTTGCACTTAGCAAGTCCTTTAAAAATGCCTATTTGAGCAAATGCTTATATTGAAATTATGTTTTTACTCAAGTATTAAGAACATCTGAGAATATATGCTATTTTTAGAAGCCATGAAACCCACTGAGGGAATGAAGCAAAAACCAAAAAAATCATAGTTGTTTTCCATGATGTTGCTGCCCCCTTGAAATAAGAACAATTTAAGAAATACTTCTTGGGGGCACCTGGGTGGCTCAGATGGTTAAGCGTCTGCCTTCGGCTCAGGTCATGGCCCCAGGGTCCTGGGATCGAGCCCCGCATCGGGCTCCCTGCTAGGCGGGGAGCCTGCTTCTCCCTCTGCCTCTGCCTCTCTCTCTCTCTCTCTGACTCTCATGAATAAATAAACATTTAAAAAAAAGAAGTGTTTAAAAAAAAAGAAATACTTCTTGGTCACTTATAAAAATTTGTGTGGGGCACCAGAGAATGGCATGAGCAGTGCACGTATCATCTCTCAAGGAGTGTATAGCTTGGAAATGGAGGTCAGCAAACTTTTCCTGAAAATGACTAGATTATAAATATTTCAGGCGTTGCAGGCCAGTAGATCTCCACTGCAATTATTTAACACTGCCATTGCAATGTGGAAGCAGTCATAGGCAATATCTAAACACGTGGGTATGTCTATGTTCCAATCAAACATTATTTACAACAACAGGAAATGGGCTGGATTTAGCCTGTGGATCATAGTTGGCTGACCCTGATTTAGAAGAAGAAATAAGGCAATTAAACAAAGTATTGTCCAGGAGCCCATGAAGAGACTTGTGAATTGGGCAGGGATCCTGATGAGCATTTTTTATTTTGAGAACACGTTCTGTTGCCATGCTATGTGCTAGGCACCATGTCATTTACTTTTCTATAACCTTTACTTGCAGCTGGGAATTGTTATTCCCACTTCATAAGTGAGAAAACTGAGTTTCAGAGAGTTTAATTAATTTCCAAGAAGCAATTCAAACAACGTGGCTTAGGAAATGAAATATTGGAACAATACAAAGAGCTGGAAGATTAATAAAGACTACATGAGATGGCGTTCAAATAGTGCTTTAGGACTTGAACAGGCGGTAATGGGTCCAAGAAAACTGCCAAGCTCAGTAAATAACCTCAAACAAGGGGAAATGTAGGTCACACTAGGACATGTGCAATGAACAATGAATACTTTATTTTTGACTAAAGGATATTGAATTGGCTAAAGGCAAATAATAAGGAAATCATGATAGGGTGGGCCACCACCAGCATCACATGACTACAAAATTTGGATTCCAATGGGTAAAATGGAACCATTAAAGTTTTTTTGTTTGCTTGGTCTTGTTATCATATATATTTTTTCTTTTTAAGGTATAGATGGTCTAAATCAGACCTGTACTTTAGACAAACTGATCAATTCATGAATAAATTAAAAATTAATTTAAAATATGGATATGGATACTAGTCTTCAAAGTTAAAAACATCCGGGTTAAATTCCTGGCTCTATCATTTATGAACCTAGGGAGACCAAATGTTTATCTGTAGAGTAAAAGTAACAAGAGTTTCTATCTCAAAAGACAAAAGATTTAAATAAAATAATGTTAAGTATCTTATCTCTGAGTGATTCAATAACAGCTAGAATATGCTACTATTCAACATAATGATAAAAATAAAATGAAGAGGATGGAAAGAAGAGGAAACACAAGAACAGAATGTAGCTGGGAGGAGGAGAAGCAAGGAGCCTACTTTGATAAGAACAGATACTAGGTTAACAGGTGGGGGAGAGAGGCGAGGGGTGTATGAAACAATGTGTCAGTAGTGAAAGTTCCCTTTATACAAACTTTCCTTAACAAACAATGTGTTGTAGATATATTTTCTATCGCATTTATCTCAATTTTTTTAAGTTATATTATATTTTCTTCTTTTCTTTTCTTTTTTTTGGGGGGGAGAGAGAGAATGCACACACATGTGTTTGGAGGGCGCTGGAGGGGCAGAAGGAGAGGGCGAGGGAGAATTTTAAGCAGCCTCCATGCTCTCATAACACTGAGATCATGACTTGAGACGAAATCAAGAGTTGGAGGCTTAACCGACTGAGCCACCCAGGCAGGCACCCCAAGTGATCTTATATTTTCAATCTCTAAAATCTACCAAGCAGTATCTCTCATATACACACAGCAATTCCATATATGTACACAAGTATCACCACCAATGTATATGCAAACATCTGTGTGTAACAAATCAAGAGTTTCTCATGTGTTGTAATGTGCTGCATCAAGCATCATGCCTCCTCTAGCTCATTTCTCATTTTCCCAGCCTCCTTGCGTGGCTCTACCTTAAGTGATATCCAATGCCCCATTTCTTCTTTAGAAACAGAGAAGAACCTGCACACTTCAGCCTCCCGTTGGAGAGAAACACTTTCCTATCTGAAAAGTAAGAAGCAAAGAAGAAAGCTTGTTAAGAAGTCACCCATTCTTTCCCAAGAAAAGACAGGTAATCATGACCCAACTCTAATTTAGGATCATTTGCATGTTCAAATCCAGGGCTTAATAAAGGCTCGCTGAAACAGGTACCATTTAATCTTATTTGTATACTTCAGGCTATTGTTTTGCTATCCAGCCAGCCAGGGAGGTTATGTGCATATGTCTCCTAAAATAGACTACCATTACATTATTTATTTTAATGGACCAGACACCAAAATCATTTGAATATTTCAAGTTGATTTGCCTTAATTTTGTGTAAAAGGATTAATGTATTAGAATACAGACTCTCACTTCACAATAATTGACTTTCCTGGCAGATGATACCCCTGTGTGATCGAATGATAAAAAATTCGAGGAGATAAATGGAAAGGGTTGGGAGTGAGACTCTTTGGGCCCAGTTCACATCATTACCATCGGTCCAGACTGCCAGCTACAGCTAGATGACCACATTATAAAATACAGCTGCTCAGAATACCAGTCCATATTTCTCAAGTCTCATAAAGACCTCATCAGGACACTTAGGGGAAATCAGCAGATACCAGCCAGGATGTCAGCCTCATCCATGAACTGGGTACTGAAGAGGATCACACGGTCTGCTCTCCGCTCCTTCAGGAGGTTCCAAACTTGGTGCCTTGAAAAGGGATCCAATCCAGCAGTTGGTTCATCCAATAGGAAAACCTACCAAGGATGGATGTATATAAAGGGTGTTTCCAGGAAAAGTGCGGGTCTTCCAGAAAATATGCAGAAACCATATTACTTACATATTTAAAAGGATATTGCAGTTAGGACCTGGTTATTATATTTAATGTTCCACCACAACTATTTTATCACGGATCTCCTTTGCAAATAAAAGATTGGAACTACTACTAAAGTTTCATTTTTAAAAAATTTGAATTCATCTCTAAATTTAGTCTGACTTACCTGAGGATCCCCTAAAAGAGCAGTTGCGAAGCTGAGTTTTCTTTTCTGTCCACCACTTAAGTTTTGAGCCAAGACGTCTTGAATATTTTTCATCTCCAATGCCAGCAAAACTCTTTGTATCTAGCCAAATGACAACATTTATGTCACAAACCAAGATTTCTTTCCTTTGTCCTTTTTCCCTTTTCCTCTTTCTTTGCCCTTTGCCCTTTCCCCCTTCCTCCTTTCCTTTCCTTTCCTTTCCTTTCCTTTCCTTTCCTTTCCTTTCCTTTCCTTTCTTTTCCTTTCCTTTCCATTCCATTTGGAAATACAAGGCTGTAAAGTGTAATGGTTAAAAGCATGGATCCTGAGGCAGAATGCCTGGATTTGAAAACCATACTACTAAAGTGCTAGCTGCGTCATCTTAGGCAATAACTTGCTTTTGAACTTCAGTTTCTACATGTGTAAAATGGGGATGATAATAGTATCCATTTCATAGCATTGTTGTGAGGAATAAGTCAATTGTTATATTTGAAATTAAGGATAATTCTTGACACATTGTAAGTCATACATAAATGTTAGCTGTTTTCCAAATTAGATTTTTTTTGGCCCAACATTTAGACATGATTTGCACAAATATATTTTAATGAAAGCATAAAGAATTCCATACAAGTAGAGTTAACAATCTCATTTTAACCAGTACATTCATTCTAACTATTTAGTACCTCTTTGTCCAGTTCATGCGACTGAATTCCTTTTATTTTCGCAAAGAGCCTGAGATTTTCTTTCACAGTAAGGAAGTCAAACTGCACATTGGATTGTGGACAAATTCCAGTGAGCTTCATGATATTCTCTAGATCAGTCATTTCTGAAAGCTTATTGTTATAAATGGTGACTGAGCCTATAACAGAGGTTAAAAGTTAATATCAGGGTAATGCCTGAAATAAGATCTTTCTAGACAGACTCCTAACTATAGAGAACATGCTAATGTTTACCAGAGGGGAGGGGCCTGGGAGGATGGGGGAAGTAGGTGATGGGGCTTAAGGAGGGCGCTTGTTGTGATGAGCACCAGGTGTTGTATGAGGTGTTGAATCCCTATATTGTACACCTGAAACTAATATTATACTGTATGTTAACTAACCGGAATTGAAACAAACACTTAAAAAGAAAAGATCTTTCTAGATGAAAAATCACTATATATTTATTACATTTTAGACACATGATTTTCTCTTCAAGGTTTTTACAATTCAGGCATTACAAGCTTCCACTATAGTTGTGTGGTATACTGGAAGGGAAAAAAAAAGTCCCATCTGCAGCTTTTCCCATCAAGATGTCATCTATTTATCCACCCCTCCCATTTAGATGTGGTTATGTAACAAACAGAATCCTAGCAAATGGGATACAAGCAGAGACTGTGAAGATGCCTTTGCACTGGGATGTGCCTTCTCCTGGTTTCTGGGATCGTGGACCCCTGCGTGAAGAATCCCGACCGATTCTTGGACGATGAAAGTCCATGTAAGCAGAGAGGAGCAGCAGTCTTAACTGAAGCCCCATATATGTGAGTGAGGACATGCCAAAACATTCAGCACCAGCCAATTAAGTCCAGAGAAACACTTCCAATCAACTCACAGAATCATGAGACATAATAAAACATTTTTTATAAAATTTTTATTTATTTATTTGAGAGAGAGAGAATGAGAGATAGAGAGCACGAGAGGGAAGAGGGTCAGAGGGAGAAGCAGACTCCCCGCCGAGCAGGGAGCCCAATGTGGGGCTCGATCCCGGGACTCCAGGATCATGACCTGAGCCGAAGGCAGTCGCTTAACCAACTGAGCCACCCAGGCGCCCCATAATAAAACATTTTTATATCAAGCCAATTAATTTGTGGGATGCTTGTTATGCAGCAAAAGCTAACAGGTACAAGTTTGAATGTCAAATAGTAACTAATGACCATGATGATGATTCTCATGAACAACTCAAATTTCATATATACCAATTAAATATCATATAACTCTATAGACGAATACCACAAGTTAACTTCCATTTTTCCATAGTTGTCTGTGTTTGTGACTGATAATCAGAAGGACTTTATATTAATGGCTGATTTATATGTTGACCTGACTTTGGGAAAAAAACCTCCTACTTTTGGTGGGAACAGATAGCCCGCTAAGAATGTTTAACAGTGTTGATTTTCCAGTTCCACTGTGACCAAGTATTGCAGTGATTTGGCCTTCATATATGTCAAATACCAGATCTAGGAAGAAAAAGAAAGGGAAAAAGGATGAGAGAGAAAAAGGAAGGGAAAGTAGCAGGGAGACAGGAAAGAAAACAAAATCACAAATAAAACTGTATTATGGAACTAATGGACTGCCTTTTTATATCCTTGAATGGCCTTGTTTTCTAAATATGAATACACTGGGTTGTTAAATAAAATGTCTATCCTGTTTTGAAATTCTGAAATTATGTGGTTTCACAGCAGGTAACATATCTAATACTACCAGGTTCATTGACATTGCCTGGCATATGGTAGGTGGATGTTAATATTTATGGACTAAAAACAGATTAATGGTTCATTAAATTATTATGTGGCTAAAAATCTTTTGAGATAAATTGCTCTTTTTGGACAAAAAATATACAATATCTACAACAGCTCTGAAATGACAGAAGAAAAATTTGAATCTGTAGAAACCACGCCTCCAAGAAAATCCTTAGACTACCTCACTATTACACAATACATCTTTCAAGTACATCTAGTTCTAAAATATAATCATTTTTTTCTAACTTTTATGCAGTCAAAGCATGTGTTAGAAAGGAAATTTTATCATGTGGCTCAAATAATTCATTTCAAATCTGAAATACCACCAGTAATTGCTCACCAAGAGCAAAAAAGAAATTGAATTAAAATTACAAATCAGTATCAATATAATAACTAAATGTTCCTTTCCCCCCCCTTACCTTTCAATGCTTCTATTTTATCAGGCTTTCCTTTATATTCTTTTGTAACATTTCTGATTCTGAAAAAAAAGAAAAGATACTTCAAAGTATGACAATTTTCTTTAGTTTGTAATTCTAGTTTTGGTTGACAGGATTAAATAAATCTTATGCTCAGGGTACAGGAAGATCTGGGATTTCACTCTCATGAAGTCATGGTTGTGTGAGAGAATCAGCTAGGCTACTGCTTCCCAGTCCTGGCTGCACATTAGCATCACCTGAGGAGTTTAATAAATTTACCTATGCTTGTATCCCATCACCAGATCTTCTGATTCCAAAGATTAGGGTATGGCCTGGCATTAGTATTGAGGACCAGGATTATCTCTAAACTGTAAAGCCAAGAAAGCTAGACCAACAGGTAACATGGCATCCAATACTGAAAGGCTCATTATGAACTACTGGCTCAGGTTGGAGGTATCTTTGGTTATCTTGAGTCAAGGTCTCCAGAAGTTGGGTAAGAGGTACAAGCGTGGAGTAAGGAAGAGACGCGAAGGTGGTAACAGTGACAGCATGGGTTTTGCAGTCTTACCTAACTGAAATCATGTTACCTTAACCAATGTACTTATTCCAGGTAAGTTTCAGCTTTTGCAACCTGAAACTTTTGAGTGTTTTAGGGTTGTGTTGAAGGATGAGTAAAATATTTCATCTTGCATGCACAGTGCTTTGTACATGATAAATATTCAATAAACATAAAATGGTATCAGTTAGATTAGTTGATTATGATAATAGAAAGGAATAGAATTAACATATGCCCAGTGCTGTTACAGATCTGGTATCCTAGGCACTTTACTGATTTTAGTCTATCAGATAAATATGTAATCCATAACTAAACCAAATTTATGTTTCTTATATTGTCATCTACAATTCATCAAAGGATTCAGGCTCCATTCATATTGGATTGCTTGATTAGATTCTTAACTCTATTTAATCCCATTTACTATCACTCCATAGCACTTATAGTTGGGTGAGATGCTGAAGAGATAGAAGAAATACAAAAAGAAACACAGAAACACATTAAATAAAGCCATTACTTTGCTCCCTCCCAGCTGCTCTGCTGGAAGTTAAACCTAGCTTAGGTCACAGGACAAATATAAGGATAGAAGATAAATATGGAACAGGCTAAAATAAAAACTGACATGAGCTCTAGAAACTCTGTAGGCTGGGGTAACCTGAGACCACTCACAGAGGGCTGACAAATGGGGATCACTGACGGACAAGAAAGATGTGAAACAGTCAGGGATCTTGAGGACTTTCTTCCTATTTTCTTATCTGGAAAGAAAAGTTGCTGGTCCCACATGAAACACACATCTGGAAACGAAGATGTGCATGACACTCTAAGGCATACCTTCCTCAATTCCCTGTGTGTCTGTCTCCAGATCCTTTCTCCCCTCCACTCCCCTACTCTTTCATTCCCTTTGAAAAGGCAATCAAGAGAAGAGGAAAGAGAAGTTTAAAAACCTATGAGGAAAAAAATAGGGAGTATGATAAAGGAGGTGGGGCAAGGTGTGAATAAATGAGACCAGGCAAAGAAATGAGAGAAGCCAAGGACCGAGAAGAGAAACAGCAGAGAAAAGACTGAGAATCCAGGCAAGGTTTTCTTTGGATTATCTTTGTTGGTGAAATCTAAGTTTGTATTTAATGTAAATGTCAACAATATGATCTAAAACGGGTTAAAGGAATTTTTCTCTAAACTTGAAGTGGGAAATGATGAAGGTAGCGTGGAGGGGGTTATAGTGGGAGCTGTCCGTAGGGCACAAAAGAGAACTGAGCTTCTCAGTCTTTGGCCTGCTCTCCTGCTCTCCTGCATCATTGTTACCTGATGGCTTCTTTCCCATGGAATTCTGGAGGCATTGGTTCCAAGGAGTCATTAGATGAAGGATCGGAATCGATTTCATGTTCGAGGACCACATGATCAGCTTTCTGTTGCCGTGACCAAAAGGAGGACTTCAGGAAAAACAAGGGGGGATATCCATGTCCATATTCATCTATATGACCAGGAGAAAAATACTGGGTCAATCACCAGTTTAAGGGAAAGAGTCATCCTAATAAAGCAGCACAGTGTCACCTCTTTGCCCAGACATCTGAACACGTCCTCAACACAGAATGCACACATTTTCCTTGATAGGTGTAATCACATAAGGAAAAAAAAATCACTAAGATGTCTCTATTATAATCATTGTTCCTACAGGAGGAAAGGAAACTGGAATTTTAAAAAATCCAGGAGGGACTTAAATAAATGTTAAGACTTTCCCTGACCCCAAGAAAGCCAGCTATTGGAATACAAATGCAAGATATGCCGGGCATGCCAAATGGTACCTAGGAGCCCAGGTGTCATGCCACCCACAAAGGAAGAAGAAATTGAGAATTTGTATCCAATGTTATTATCGGATACAAATATTCCAAGAGAAAACAGAACAGGATTTAACGAAAAAGGTGGACACACTGTAACAAAGGGAGACAAAGAGGCAAAATAATTTATTGAAATTTAACAGAGTGCAATTCAAACTTACTCTTCATCACCCTCTTTCTGGAAATTAACCCACTGTGTATTTGCATTTAATTATCATTTCTGTTTCCCTACATGTTGAGAGACACTATGAAATGAAAAAAACATTATATTTCACTAATATTTTGCAACGACCTCCAGGGTACTAATGATGGGTTTTCAAACTTATGTGTACTTTTCACATGTTTAGTCATTCCTTCGTGCAATATTGACCGAACACTTTCTAAACACCTGTTACTTGGTATGTTATTAGTTAGTTCTTATCTCTTTCCCTTCATGAGGAAATCTATTGAATGAAAGCATATAGCTTGACTGGGTCCATTCTACCACCAGATTCCCCATTACATGATTCTGTCATTTTAGCCAGTTAATTTTCCTTTCTCTCATTGATATTGCTTATCTTTCAAAGAATTTTGAACAAAGTCACCTTGTTTGAATTCAAGCTTACATTCAGGCTTGGTGAATGGATGATAAAAATAATTCCAAGTGTATAATAAATGTTCTAGCCAAAATTGTAGATTCTGGCCTCTATTATTCTGGTCTCTTCTGAAAGGGAGAGACAGTTACTGTTCTTAAGGGATTATTTGAAAACAACAACATGATCAATTCACTGCTTCCAGATGTTTCTCTGCACCTTCGCCCTCACTCTTTCTCCTTTGTCCCTTTGACCAAGTGTTGAATCCTTGACTTTAAAAAAATATATACTCAATGTGTTTATTTCATTAGAAACTTCCATAATCTTTACAGCTTGATTGAAGTATGACTGACAAATAAAACCTGTATACACGGAAGGTATATAATGCGATGTTTTGATACAGGCATACATTGTGAAGTATTACCATCATCAAGCAAATTAACATATCATCACCTCACATGGTTATCATTTTTCTGTGTGTGTGTGTGTGTGTGTGTGTGTGTGTATGTGGTGAAAACACCTGAGATCTACTATAAAAGTAAAAATGTATGACCTATTGACTTCCCTATTGTAGAACTCTGGTGAGATTTTTAAAAATATAGATGCCCTAGTCCCACCACTGATGAAATGAGTCATAATCTCTTAGGGTTGAATTGTGCTTGGTATTTTTTTTTTTTAAAGTTCCCAAGGTGGTTCTGAAATATAGCCAGGGCTAAGAACAACTGAGCAAAATAATTAGGCAAAAGCAACTGTAAATTTCCATGATTAAGTACCAAGCCAGACCCATTTAGGAAATAGCTTTCTAAGCATCTTTTTAAAAAGAAACAAACTACATTTAGAGCACAGTGGAGTTCGAAGATCAGTGATCCTATAAACAAAATTCAAGCTGTAGTTCTGACCAGTCAAGTAGCAAGAAATAAAGAACTAATGTGGCCATTGGCAATGACCTTGTTCACTGCCTTCCTTTTGATGCACAAAGTAGTTTTTAAAATATAAATAACACATGTGTTAGGAGATTCGCCTTTAGGAAATAATGTTTGATTTTAATCAGATCAGTACTCACTTGGCAAAATTTTCTCAAAATAAATCGTCAATGCCACATAGAAGAAAAGATCAAATGCCAACATGAAATTTGTTGCTATTATCAGATTTGAGTAGTCTGATGGATTAGGAAATGCACTGGAATTCAAATCATAGTCTGTGCGCAAAAGCTGAAAATTAAGAAGTAATTAAAGAAAGGACGTTAGTTTTGTGATAAATTTTAAACAATTAGGTTTAGCGTAAACGTGTAAGAGCTACTTTTTGCCTCCCACTAACACAAAGTTGAATGAAACTGCCTTCTTTACAATTCTCAATTCTTTTGGAAGGCATAGGTGTGTGACCAACTATAATGAAATTTATTAACTGCTGTGATTAAAGTATGTTCCAAGTGAAACTGGAGCATTAGGAGTGTTACAAGATTTTTGTTCCCGTAGTGCCTGTTGTTTTTGATCACGCCGCTTCGAAGAATGAAGAGGTAGACCAGACAAAGAGTGGTGGGCAGCAAAGCAAAGTTTATTGAGTGATAGTATAAAGCTCCCGGAGAGGGAGGGGACCTGAGAGGGTTGCCCTTTTGGTGTTCAAATCTAGGGGTTTTTCTAAGCTCTTTTGCAGATGTATCTTGAGCATTCTGAGCGTGGGCCCCTTGTGGATTGGCTGCTAAGGTGTGCCAATCAGGGCTTTGATCACGCACCTGTCTACCTATTGGGTTATTGTTTATGTGTTGATGGTCTTTTGGGCTGACATTTGGACACAAACTGCCTCAGCTTTGGTAGTGACCCACGTTTTATGGTTAATTGTTTTGTTTCAGGATGTTTTGCAAAAGTCACTTCTGCAGAGGCTACTAGACAGGATGCCATTGTGGTCTTGTCTAATCCGTAAAACAGGATGCTAGTATGGTTTTGTCTTAGCTGTCCAGGTCTCTGTTTTCTTGTTGGGGACCCTGGCCCTGACTACCTAAGTGTCCAATGAACTCCTAACAGGAGGAGGCAGGGAAGTATGGGAAAAGATGACATTTGAGCTCAACCTTAGATAAATTTTTACCAAATAGGATATAGGACAAAAGTGTGGTCCTCCTTGAAAATGGCTACATGAGAGAGAATTCATTCCCTTGGAAAAACAAAACAAAACAAAACTGGTGTGTTTAAGGAGAACCTGTGGGAAAAGCGGGCTTATCTATAATGTTCAAGTTAATGGGTCTTTTGTAATTAATTATCCTTTCATTAAGAACTAAATAACAGGTATGTATGCAATGATCGACATTACCATTTAATTGCAGGGACAGCAAAGTGAGTTCAATTTGAGAATCAGATAAAGAGAAATGACATTTGATGAGCAGAAATGTAATTTGCTGGTCAATTAATGTGTTTTTAACTTTTGATTTTCTTTTCTTTTATATGGTAGTTTATAGATTCATGTATGTTGTTCAGTTACGAAGTCAAAATACGAGCTGGAATAATTAAAATTAGATCTGCAATATCAAATCCATATTTAATTAAGAGCCAAAGGGGCACTGGTGGCTCAGTCGGTTAAATGTCTGCCTTCGGCTCAGATCATGATCCCAGGGTCCTGGGATGGAGCCTTGCGTAGGGCTCCCTGCTCCTCGTGAAACCTGCTTCTCCCTCTCCCACCGCTCCCCCTCCGCTGCTTGTGTTCCCTCTTTCACTATGTCTTTCTCTGTCAAATAAATAAATAAAATCTTAAAAAATAATAATAATTAATAATCAAGAAAACGCTTTAGATCATCTATGAAGAATGATACGCTGACCTTCCCTTTTTTCACTCACCAAATGGCTTATTTTGCTGAGCTCAGTATGCCCAAAGCTTTTAGAAGTTCATTTTTGCGGGGTGTCTGAGTCGCTCAGTCAGTTAAGTGACCAACTTTTGGTTTCAATACAGGTCATGGTCTCAGGGTCCTGGGATCGAGCCCTGTGTTGGACTCTGCACTTAGCACAGAGTCTGCTTGGGATTCTCTCTCCCTCTCCCTCTGTCCCTCTCCCCTATTCTCTCTCCCAATCTCTCTCTCTAATACATGAATAAATCTTTTTAAAAAAGTTCATCTTTGCAATGTCACAGTAATCTGCACAGAGGCTTTAAATCTGACAATGCTAATCATAGAAATGACTATAGACAACTGAATTCCAGACAGAAAAAGATGTTTCTGAAATTCCATCAATCAACAATTGGATTGTTTCTCACCTGGGCCATTCCAAGCATGAAGGCAAACGGGCTAAGAAAGCTTAAAATCCACTCCAAGGATGTAGGAAGTTGCCTGTACAATGCTGTAAATCCCAAACTTCCCCAAAAGACGGTGAGAAGGAACATGACCAGACCAGTGAGGAAAGATTTCTTTACCAAGACGCTCATTAGAAAAGCCAAAGCTATCTAAAATGAGAGAAGATCCAGTTGGTTTATATTTCTCTAAGGATTATTCTTAGCATAACACAATAAGGGATTGAATATACAAAATTAGAGTTACATTTTTTTGTCTATAATACAAAACTGTGCTCTACAAATTGCACTATAAGGTGACATTACAAAACACTGCAAATCTTTTTAAAAAACACTACAAATCAAATACATAGATATACATAGATGTTCTCGGGCAAAGAGCAGACAGTGAAGAAAAGGGATATGGAGAATAATTACCTATTTAGAAACCAACGCTTGATCCTTAGGGTAGATTGGTAAATTGGATAGAAAGCAATTTAATTCACCAACTCACCAAAGACAATCCATAGAGGAAAAAAAGGGTGAAGATCGCCATGAAGCCAGTCAGAATGACAAACTGGACAGATTTTATAATAAGTGCCAAGAAAAGTGCCATAATGAAGATGAAAACACCATAGAGTAGACCCCAGGAGAGCCTAGGATGGAAACAAGCGGCTATTTTAGAATTTCATGTTCCATTGAAAGGAGGATCTAGAATGGATTCTAACATTATTCATTGATTCATTCATTCTTCCAGTAGATACTTATTGAGTTTCAGGATATGTAAATACAAGATAAATGTGTTGGGAAGAATTCTTTAGGAATTAGGGATATTTTTTGTCCTAAAATTAATTCCAGAAATACACACACACCTACATGTACACACACACACCACTGTGGGGAAAAGGAGAAAATAGTCTTCCAGTCTGACTGATTTTGGTTCAAACATTTTTTTCTGCTGCCTTCATACTCTGTGACCTTGAGCAAACTCCGTAATCCCTCAACATTTTCTTTCTTTCTTTCTTTTTTTTATTGCTCTGTACACTAGGAATAATACCACAGTTTTAGTTCAGTGAAGTTATGTCTATGTGGGACACTGTCTTAGTACACGGTAACTCCTCAGTGAATCTCAGATCCTTTTCTCCTCTCAGGCCTTTCTAGGGGTGAGGAGCTTCATGGATTTCCTCAAAGATATAGGATAGTCCACCTTCCTTTCTTCAATTCTTTTATCACGTTGATCACTATTCTTTGAAGGGTATAATGAAATAATGAAAAACAAAAACAGCCACAAAACCAACAAAGTAATAGCCTACGCATACAGCAATTACTCTGTGCCAGAAAGTGTTTTACGAACTTAGCAAACAGAAAATCATTTTATTTTCACAAAGGCTCTATGCAGGAGCATCATTATTTTCTTAATTTCTAGACAAAGAACCTACTGAACAAAGATGTTAAGTAACTATGATTTCAAGTCCAGGCATTTTGGCTCTAGAGTCGTTAGATTTTGCTGCTCCGTCATACTTCCCTCCAATATTAATTCAATAAACAGTTCAATATTGACTTATAGCATTTTCTTCCAGACTCCAAATTCGTTGCCATTTGCATATTCCACCTGGCTTCCTAGCCTCTGTGTTACTTTACTTTCTCTTCACTATGAACATCACCTCCATGCTTTTTTCAGTCATTCTCAAGTTCTCTCTCACACAGGGCCTTGTCCATCCTTGGAATTACACAGCCTCTGACATTTTAAATTCAAACTACCCAAGCCCCTATTCACAATCCTGTTCTGCCAGCTTCTTCCTTCAACTATATCCATCATACCAGATCTTTAGTCTCAAAAGAGCTCCTGATCTTTGACCTATTTTTTCCCCCCTTTCAGTCCATGCTGGCTTGAATTCCACTTCCATCAGGCTTTGACACTCAAATCTACCATTTCTACTGCACTCTTAGCCGTAGACTCAATGGCCATCCCTCATTATCCCTACCTCACAGCCAGTAGACTCAAGGCCATCCCTCATTATCCCTACCTCACAACCAGTAGACTCAATGGCCATCCGTCATTATCCCTACCTCACAACCACCACACAAACCCAAACCTGCTATTCTTTCTTCAGTCTGAGAAGCACAGTAACCCGCAACCTTAACTTGGCAAGCATTACATCAATGACAATTTATCCCATTCATAGGGAAGAGTTAGAAAATCATTAGGTTTGAATACTGATGCTTTGAAGAGGCCCACTCTTCCTGAATCCCTACATTTATTTGTCCTACACTTTACTCACCAGAATGCCGAATCCCGAAGACCCATCATCCTCAACAAGCCCTTCATCTTTTTCCTCTCTCTTGTAATGTTAAGAGATGCATAATAAGTGAATGAGGAAAAGGAAATAACGCAGAAGAAAATGAAGAAATCAGCTGCAATGCCCCCTTGACTGACAAAGGGATGTATCTTCATATTTTTTCCAGTAACGGACATCAATTCCTCCATCACTGAATGATTTGTTGCAGTCTGAAGAAATATATTAATAAACAAAATTTGTATATTCATGGATGGCATGCTCTGTTTTCTTTCAGTCATCTGTTTTCCTCTGAACACATAACTGATCAATCTGGATCTGATCCTAGCCTAAATTTTCACTTCCATTGTTCCACCATTGGCCCACTTGGGGCCCTGACTCCCGGCATTCTGAGCTTCTCACAGTTCTCAAAATTTACGATGTGTTTTATCACTTCCCTGCCTAACACTGCCTTATAATGTGCTTGAAATACATTTATGACTTTATATACTTGGCAAATCTTACCTTAAGCTTCAGTTTTAAATGTTACTTCAATTAGGAATTCTTTCATGGCATCCTAGGCTGAGAAGTTAGGCTTGTTTACTTACAGACACTTTATACCTCCCTGATACCTTACTTCTCCCTTTCTAATAATGTTCTTTCTTTCTTTCTTTATTTAAATTCTAGTTGGTTAACATATACCATAATGCTGACTTCAGGAGTAGAATTTAGTGATTCATCACTTACATACAACACCCAGTGCTCATCACAACAAGTGCCCTCCTTAATCCCCATCACCCATTTAGCCCCTCTCCCTTCCCCCTCCCCTCCAGCAAACCTTAGTTTGTTCTCTATAGTTAAGAGTTTCTTGTGGTTTGCCTTCCTCTTTCTTCTTTTTTTTCTTCCCTTATGTTCATCTGTTTTGTTTCTTAAATTCCACATATGAGTGAAATCATATGGTATTTGTCTTTCTCTGACTAACTTGTTTTGCTTGGCATAATACACTCTAGCTCCAGCCACATCATTAAAATGACAAGATTTCATTCTTTTTGGTGGCTGAGTAATATTCCATTATATATATGCGTGTGTGTATATATATATAATGTGATAATATGTGATATATATATAATATATATGTGATAATATATATAAAGACAAATATAAAGGAAATAAATATATATATATGTATCACAACTTCCTTATCCATTCATCAGCTGATGGATATTTGGGTGCTAATAATATTCCTATTATATGCCTGGCTTCTTGACAAGTTTGAATTCTTGGGAGAGAAAATTTCTCTTCTATTTATGTTTGTAGCCCCCATGGCATATAGAAACTTAAATAAACTTTGTACTAAAGAAACCAGTGATTAAGTGAAAGAACAGGCTACCCATTTATGTTTTATTTCATGAACCTTTTGAGGCCTCTAATACCATTAGTCTGCATGCAACATTAGTTAGCATGGAACATTTGTACTCACTTCTATAATAGCAGCATTGATAGCAGCTTGAAGAGCGACGAAACCTCTCTCCCAGTATTGTGAAACTTGGCAGTTAACACCTCCACTCATTTTAAAACAATGAGCTTTAAGAAAAAAAGAAAGCCATAAATATCATTATGATTATAGGAAACAGTGGACTTTACAATGGCTTCACATTCCAGATGTTGTTATTTTGACTCAAGGCCTGTGAAAACATAAACTGGAGTAATGATTCTCAAAGCAGGGCAGACAGAGCACTTATAGGGGATGTTCTGCATTAAATTAGAATATACTATGCTTTCCCACACTATCTTCACCTAATCAAGAATTTTGTGGAGCTCTTCCCTTCTATCATTTTGTGTTGTTGAAACAATCTTTTTATGTTTTTCAAAGGTTAGTAGGTCTTTTATGGATTGAGAACCATATAGATTGAGAACTAGAGCTTTACCTAACATTACATACAACACAGGCAATAATGAGCAACTGGGAGTTCAGAGGAAATAACTTACTATGTTTAAATCATGTCAACCAGAACATCTTTTGAAGAAAAAACATCTTATCAAAAAAAAAAAAAAAAAAGCCTACCAGTCCATCGAGTATTAAACTGCATTAAAGAGAAGGTGATATTTAATATGAAAAATTAAAATTGAGTATTAGAATTAAATGCATGTTTCATTAACATTTTAAATATTTAAAAGTCATTTGGAAACAGTTCAAGCCTACAAGTGATGATATAATGAACACATATGTACCCATGGCCCAATTATAAAAATGAATAAATCATTACAAATACAATTGGAATCCCCTGTATATTGTCTATGATCTTGTTGCTTTTCCTAGGAGCAAGCTCCTAACTGGCTAACTGCTTTCCTGAACTTTGTGTTTATATATGCCATTAAGCTTCTGTAATGTATCCCCAAACTACACATGTAATTTAAAATTGTTGAACTTTATATCTTCTATCTCATTACAGTCATCATTCTGCATTTTGCTTCATTTGTTCTATATTATGATTTTGAAGTTTATATAAATGGCCCCATTTTTTCTTCTTATGATTGTGTAGAACCACACTGCAGGAATGCAACTCAATGTATTTATCCATTCTCTCATAGATGACAATTTGGTTAATTTCTTTTTTCTTTTTGCTATTACAAAAAAAAAAAAAAAACCCACTGCCATGAAAATCCTTATATATGTCTTCTCATGAATATGTGTGTATCGTCAGGATAGTCTGATATGCCTAGTAACAACCTTCAAAATCTTAATGTCTTATCACAGCAACAGTTTACTTCTCACTCAGACTATAGATTCAGCACAGGTCTTTGGAAGGGGGGGAGTGAGGTCCTCTGTTTCACACGAGGGGTCCCAAGGTGATAGTTTCCATCTAGCTTGCAGAAGCAGGTGAGGAAAGGGTATAGAGAACTCACACCTGCTTTTCAATGCCTTGAATTTAGGTATCTAATTATAGCTATGAAACAATTATTCTATGCCCTCAGAAGGAGAGGAGAATAGGCTGCAAACCTTTAACACAGGCATGAGACTTTCACTGATAAAATTTCTATGATGCTGGGTTATAGGTTATACATATCTTCAATTTAAAAATAAAATTTCTCAATTTTAAATGTTTAAAATATTTTATAATATTGGGTTTTCTTTGCTACATATCCTTGTCAATACTTTGTATTGTTCTATTTACTGTTTTTGGCCCGTCTTGTTAAATATAAAATGATATCACATGTGGTTTCAAAATGCATTTCCCTGATTACTAATGTAGGTCCAAGTGTTTATTCTTGATCTGTGTTTCTCCTTCTATGAAGTTCCTATTTATATCTTTCACTTCTTTCCCATTTCTATGCTTTTTTTCTTATTTATTCAGAGAAAATCTTTATATATTCTGGTATTAACTTTTTGTTAGTTTCATTTGCATAAATATTTCATCACAAGTTTTGCCCTTACTTTTCACTCTCTGATGTCTTTTGATAAAGATATTTCCTTAATTTTGATCTAGTTGAATTAAGCAAACTTTTCTTTTATAGTTAATGTATTTTTTGTTTAAATATTCTATTCTATCCAACAGTTATAAAGATATTCTCCTATACTGACTTCTAGAAAGTTTACAGGATTTTTTTTTTCCACTGAGTTCTGTACCTGGAAAGTGGTTGTTTAGTATGAGATAATTTCATTTTGTTCTTTATGGAGAGATGATTTTCCCAGCACCAATCACAGTGTCTTCTCAGTCATATGTTAGTTTTCATGTTTATGTGAGAGCTTTCCAGGTTTCTTTCTTCTGTTTCATTGGTCTATCTGTCTTTTAGTATGGTAATAGCATACTCTCTTAATTACTTATTTAATTCTTTTTAAAAACCATCTTGGCCTTTATTCTTGTCTATGCATTCACTGAGTATATAGTCTCTCCAGGTTCCAAATTAATACAGAAATGTCCATCTCATATAAACCCAAGATCTTCTCACCTGCCCTCGTGTAGCTAAAACCCAAACCTCTTGGTTGGTGAGACTGGCAAAATCATAGAGCATTAACAATAATCAATCACTCTGCATTTGGTGCCCTTTTCATTTCGGGCCCTCAAAAATAAGCTTACTCAGACATTTGAAGAGAAGCTTCTTCTATTTTATCCATAAACAATTTTACTTTCCTTCAGCAATATATATTATAAACACATATTGCATTTAATATATATGTATATGTACACACACATATATGGAAATATATATATATGTATATATATATAAAACCATATATAACAACTATCTAATACAGTATGTTAATAAATCTAAAAACCAATGTACATTCTTAAAATGTGTTGATTATCCTGTTGCCATCACATTGCAGATAAGGATTTTTAAATTTGCTGTATTAACAACCATCCCTATACATAACTTATGACATAATTGAAGTGGAGAGCACTGAAATTACACAGATGGAAAGTTACCTTCATGGTCCTTGTGTTCCTTTTTTGTCGGGATTCTGTATCCCAGCAAGAATTTCAAATGATATGAGAATGTATTAGTAAAGATGACTTGTATTACTTCCTCAGGATAATCTGGCATTAATTCTTTAATATTTTCTTCACTGGACAGCCCCAAAACTTTTATATCTGCCATTACAAGAAGGGAATATATTTGTTAGTAAATTACTAGGAGATCAACTTCAGGATGTCATGATAAATTACTTTTACTAGAGTTCTTTATGGAAATAAAACAAAATCAAATATCAACTTTGAGTAGGTCAGGCTGAGTAAAGTTTAGGAAGAGACATTGCTCTTCAGAAGAACTACATGAAAATTAGTTATTTTATTTTCATTTGTAGTTCTTGAACCAATTTCAATCACATATAATATCATTCCATACCAATTAAACTATTCACAGGAGAATTAGCATTGCAATAAATCTACAATGGTAGTAAAAAAAAATGGTCACAAATGGTAGGTCATTGTGTTTAAATCACAATTAGGCTCTGGTTTATAGCAGATGGAAATAATTATAAAAATTCACTTTCCTTTAATAATCCTGACAGTATGGTAAATATACTAAAAAAAGGGAGAATGAAAAATTTTAAAAATACGTCAATTGATTATATTGACATCACTAAAAAAATCCCTCTTTTCAGCAGGTACTGTGTTTAATGCCATACAGAGGTCTCACCAAGACTGAAAGAATGAGAAGGAATGCAAAGAAAGTCCTGGATTGGGGTGGGAGTGTTGAAGATGCAAGTGGAGGAAAAAGGCAGCACGTATTTTGATAGAACTATTCTTTTTCTGGAATCTATTCCTTAAATCCATGTGATCTTGAGCAAGTCATGTAAGCTTTATCACTCAATTTCCATTATTTGTAAAATAAACAATAATATCTGTTATTAGTACATAATATTACTACAGAGTACAGAAAAATATAATACAGAATAATATTATCACAGAATAATATTCTATTACTACAGAATAAAGGCTCTATAAAATCTAGTGCATGAGAGCATTTAATGAATATTTATCATAATTGCAGTTACATCATTTATGAAACAAAGATAATAATGCATTCATTGTAAAGATAAACTTGATGTAAAGACCTTGCACACAGTAGTCATTTAATGAATATTTATTAACCCAGTTGCATGGGACCTTGAACCAGGGTGTTGTTGAGAGGCACAAATTTATGTGTTGTGAGCCCTGCACCCCACCAGGAGGACATCTGTGAACCAGAGGGTGAAGGCAAACACACCCTGGGATAGACAGGGAGACCAGACCTTAGGTGGACAGTGCAGTTCAGACTGTGATCTTGAATCAGAAGTGGAGTCGGTGTTTGTAGGCAAGATGCACAGTGCAAACATGCCAATTCAGGTGGGAGTAAGGGGGTGGTGGTTGGTGAGGCATGATGGGGAAGCAAGTTTAGATGTAAACCATCCACCTGTCCTAGCAGTGTGCAATGAAGCATGGACAGGAAGGAAAAGTCCAACATAATTTGGAAACTGTGGCCATAGAGACTCCAAAGAGCAAGAGACTGAACACAGATTACAGAGAGGTGGCCTTCTGGATACTGAATACAGTTAGGATCCAAGCACAAAATTAATGGTTACATAAGCTGTAGTAGAATCAGGGACATAGGTTAGCAAAGAGAAGAGACCTTAAATAGACTTCCAGTGACTGGGTGGAGCAAGATCTAAAAGTTCCCCTTACAGTAATACTCTTGGTGGGGAATTATGGTGTTTAAAATTGATATTGAGTACCTTCCAAGTCACTTTATTCATTCATTCATTCATTCATTCCTTCACTCATTTATTGAGTGTGTAAGGGAAAGAGACTCTCAAGCAGGCTCCATGCCTAGCACACAGCCCAGTGTGGGGCTTGAGCCCACGGCCCTGAGATCATAACCTGAGCCAAAACCAAGAGTCAGATGCTTAACCAACTGAGCCACCCAGGTGCTCCCAAGTCACATTTTTATGTTCTTTTTTTAATTGATGTATAATTCATATAACATAAAATTCATCTTTTTAAACTGTACAATTTCATTATTTTTAGTATATTCACAAAGTTGTGCAAGCTCTAAACTGTTTTTAAATTATAACTCAACTCACATTTATGGGCCAATCACCATAGATTTCCCTTTGAGGTATGCATTTATATTTGCAAAGAAGAATTGTTTTTATTTGCCTGACATTCAGTCCCCCTTCTAGTAAACACTCTAAAATTCATTTGGGATACTGCCACTCTTCCACTCACATACTACATGGTTTCAATATGGTTTGCAACATGACCTAGGAACCCAACCAATGGGCAGTGACATTATTGTTATTCTTCTATCCGGTGAGATTCATTCTTGGTGGACCAAGACCAACACTAATCCAAAGTAGACTATCATTCCAATGGGTCTAATTTCTGAAATTATTTTGAACTGTTGGGAAAGGTCTGTACACTTTTCACTGGAGTTGTTTTTGGTAGGTCATAAATCTGGAGCTTCTGCAGACTAAGTCTGCTTCTATTTGGGGAGAGCCAACCTGAGATGAGGCTAGCACACAATACTATAAACCTGACAACTGGAGACATATTTCTTCCTCTACTGATGACCCATCTCTATCCATACTCATTTCCTTAAACTTAGACAAAAGATACTCCCCTTTCAATGAGACAAGTTGAATTGGGATTCTCTCATTCTCAACTGAAGTATTCACGAAAAATATAGTACTGTTAATCTTATTTGAATATGGTGATAATGTGGCTCAGAGAAGTTGATGACTTGCAAAATACACTGCAGACCCAGTAACAGAAGTACTTTTAGTCAAATGTTCTTTGACTCTAAGACTAGTTCTCTTGCCTCTGCACTAGGCTGTTTCTCTTCTGATTTCAGAAAATTATTCTAAAGGAAAGTGACTTTGACAGTCATAATGCTCTCCTTATTTTTCATTGAAAGGTATCTTAACACTGAAGGGTGGAAACTTGAAACTCAGAATACTCATCAATAGAATCTTCAAATATAGTAAGACAATTTTTGGTAGTAAAAAGCTGGAGATGGAACTCCCATAATCAAATTCAAGAAAAGACTCGTTTTTGTCTCTAATAATAAGCAAATACTAGAGTGACAGTCTCATTCTAGTAATAAGGTTTCCACAGCCAAATGTCAACAATTCCCTAAACACTCCTGCTTTTCAAAGTCTGCCAAACACTATATTCCATGCTTCCCCAAACCCTATGCAAGATCAAGATTTCTTTGCTGAGAGACTGTGCACTCAATTTCACATAATCTATAAATTTTGACAACACAGTTTATCAACTGAAATGCAAATTAAATGCATGTCTGCAGTCAAATGAACCAAAAATTGACATCCGGAATTCCTCTTGGTTACTAGAAAACTCACCTTTCATGAAGGAGGCTAAGGCTACTTTACTCATTATCTGTTGGGTTGAATTGGTGACAGGTGTGTATATAATAGAAAATGTAGAATCTTTAAATGAGTCTACCGGTCCCAGGTCCACAGCAGGCAGTGAAGAAAAATCATTAACTTTATGATTAGTAGGATATAGATACAAACAAAGTAGGAGGAGCAATGGGGTCAACCATTCCTACACAATCCAAGAGAAAGAATAAAGAAAATTATGATTTTGAATTAGTTATCCACAATCATTTGGTCATACAGTTTGTCTTGTGCATTTTTCTGCTTTCAATATACGCCACATTATGAACTGTTTAAAATATGTACAGTACAAAATTCAGCAGTCTGAGTAATTCCAATGAGCTCTTAATAGGTATTCAAGTGTATTGATCCACAGCACCAGTCTAAAGCATGCACTGATCATGAAAGTATGAGAAGCAAGCTATTATAAATTATTACCAGCTGGTATGACCTACTCATGCTGTATCTGGTTCTACTGAGAGCCTAGTGTTACATGAGACAGTTCCAAGGCACTGCTTACTGAGTAATAATATACTGACTACATGCCAAGATCCTGGTATTGGAAACTCAGTACAATTCAGGCAACTGAGAAACACTGTCTTGTTAGTTATCATTATGGGTCACCTGCAAACTTCCAATAAGACATCACTTTATTTCCTAAATGGATGATGACAGAAAAAATTCACAATTAGACAGTAAAATTCTAATTTAGTTAAAAATGCTACTAATTTATATCTATCTGATTTTCAGAAGATATTGAAGTTCAACCAGGATTTTTGTTATATGGTAAAATGATAGGAGCTAATGCTAATTTTCTTCTTAGTACTAATAACATTTCCAAGTTTTCTACTCTTTTGAAGAGAATGATTTATTTTTAAAAAGAGAAAGAAATTCAAAAGAGAATATACCAGTTACCTACTTCTGTGGGTTAATTAACCATGCCTTCAAAATCTCAGTGTCTAAACCTGACTATCCATAAGTAGGAGCCCTAGCAAACATGTGACCACTGACTTTTAAAACATTTATTGGATTTTCTATTGCTGGCCAGCGTCAGTGACTTTAGACCTCAACTTGGGATCTGTGGCAACTGAAAGGTTTGCAGACAGATTGCAGTTTGAGGAAGAGCTCTTTTTCTTGTAGAGAGGTTTTCTGGTTTGGTTTGGTTTTTGGAAGGGGAGATAAAGTATAGTTACTTCCTAGGAAATACACATTTCCATATTGTAAATAAGAAGTGACAGAGATACTGAATGATACCATCAAGAACTCTCTTTTCATTCTCCATTTCTTCAGAAGGTTCTTGCATAATAATGCCCATGTCTGTTGACACACACTTATTTCTCTCTTAATCATTTTGCCCTGTTTGGTAAGAAAGAAAAGGAGAAGATAACGTAAATGTGACGATTTTCATGAGAAGACATACCCTGCAAACAGAAAAAGAGCAGCCTGATAATTGCAGTGTTATAAATGAGTGCTTGGACTCTGTGAGTTCCAAAGTTAGCATGTGATGACTCCCCTGGCTTTCTTTTCTTTCCACTTCCAAACTCTTTACTCCCTTATTTGTTTGGTCATGCATTGTGTCAGTGACCAACGTACTGCCTCAGCTCTATGAAAATGGATCTCGGCCTTTTAAGTCGTTTTCTTTGCCAGTCGGCATAATGTAAAGCTTTGTCAGCAGAGAGGATGGAAGAGACATTGCAGGAAGAAGAGGCCTTCCTTTCTGGTGTCAGAGTGGTTCATTTTCCCCATTCCTAGAGACTGTATTTTTTTTCCCCGCTGCTCAGACTAAATGATTTTCTCCAATGCAAAGTGCCTGGATGGTGAAGGTTTCACTGTGTGTTTTCAATAACTCTTGACTCAAGATCAGTAATGTATCTGGGAGCCCCAGACAGCTAGGGCCTTTCCCCCAGAGTTTTGTTTCCTTTGGATTCCCTATTGCAAAGTCAGTGCACTCCTTGTGCCCATGGCTTGACTTTCAGTGGGCTGCAACAACACCTATCTAAACACACCTTAGTTGATGCAACATGACCCTTGCATGGAGTAAAAAGCAATGGCCATCTACCACCACGGGTGGGGTGGGAAACCTCCCTGCCCCCATTCCTAAGCAAAGGTGAGTTGTTGCTGAGGTTTGCTTGGCAACCCAGCATTGACACAAAGCAGAGACAGGCTATTATCCAAAGAGGGGTGAAGCAGCTCTCACATATCTAAGACCTCCCAACAGATACAAGAACAGATTGTACAACAGGCCACAAAACAAGTCTTAGCAAATTGAGATTATACTGAGTATCTTTTCTGACCATGAGGATAGGAAACTAGAAATCAGAAACAAAAGAAAAGCTGGAAGGACATTGAATCCGTGATCAAAGACCTCCCAACAGAGAAAAGCCCGGGACCGGGACCAGATGGCTTCTCTGGTGAATTCTACCAAACATTTAAAAAAGAATGGGCACCTGGGAGGCTCAGTTGGTTAAGCGACTGCCTTCGGCTCAGGTCATGATCCTGGAGTCCCGGGATCGAGTCCCACATCGGGCTCCCTGCTCAGCAGGGAGTCTGCTTCTCCCTCTGACCCTCTTCTCTCTGGTGCTCTCTATCTCTCATTCTCTCTCTCTCAAATAAATAAATAAAATCTTTAAAAAAAAAAAGAATGAAGGGCACCTGGGTGGCTCAGTCGGTTAAGCATCAGCCTTCAGCTCAGGTCATGATCCCAAAGTCCTGGGATTAAGTCCCGCATTGGGCTGCCTGCTCAGTGGGGAGTCCGCTTCTCCCTCTCCCCCTCTCCCCTGCTTGTGCTCTCTCACTCTCAAATAAAATAAAATCTTTTTTAAAAATTAAAAAATAAAAAAGAATGAATGCCAGTCCTTCTCAAAGTTTTCCAAAAAATTGAAGGGGAGGGAATACTTTCAAACTCATTCTGTGAGGCCAGCATTACCCTGAGGCCAATGACAGATGAGGACACTAAAAGAAGAGAACATTACAGACCAACATCCCTGGGGAATTTAGATGCAAAAATTCTCAACAAAATATTAGCAAACTGAATGCAACCACACATTAAAAGGATCACACACCATGATCAAGTGGGATTCACTCCTGGTATGCAAGGATGGTGCAACATATGTAAATCAATAAATGTTATACACCACGTGAATAGAATGAAAGGTAAAAATCATATGATCATCTCAATAGATGCAGACAATACATTTCACAGAAGACAACATCCTTTCATGATAAAAACCCTCAACAAAGTAGGTGTAGAAGGAATATATCTTAACGTAATAAAGCCTATATACAATAAGCCCATGACTGACATCATACTCATGGGTGAAAGGTGGACAGCTTTCCCTCTATGATCGGGAATAAGACAAAGACACCCATTTTTACCCCTCCTGTCCAACACAGAAGCCCCAGTTCTTTACTCTACTTCTGTCGACACCTTTTGTCTGGTAACTCTTTGAGTTCCATCCTTAAAGGCGGAGTATAACTTTGACTGTAGAAAGGAGTGGGAGTGACTATGTGCCAATTCTCAGCCTAGCTCTTATGAGGCCTTGGGTGTATCTGCTTGCTGTTATGGCTCGATTATTGCTGTAAGAGAATACTGGGCTAGCCTCTGGGACCTGAAAACCATATGAAACATAGCTGAGTCATCCCAGTCATGCCAGTATAGACTAGCCTACATCAGACTATGGCCAGCGAGACTCTAGGGATCCAAGCATATCCAAGATCAGCAGAACCTCTTAGAAAACACCCCATGCATGCAGAGAAAGGGGAACCCTCCTACACTGTTGGTGGGAATGCAAGCTGGTGCAACCACTCTGGGAAACACTATGGAGGTTCCTCAAACAGTTGAAAATAGAGCTACCTTACGACCCAGCAATTG